CAACATGGTTGTAGAGGATCGTGGTGAACTTGATCAAGTCACCATAGACTATCGGACAAAACACGGCCTTAGAATCCATCCAAATCGAGTCGATCCACAGTTATCTTATACGCTTGCTGAGTACTATGTTACCATGTCACAACTACGAGATCGTGATCGACACTTACGCTTGATGAATGATCTCAAGACGGCGATGTGGATGAAACGGGGCTCTGGTCGTAATGATTAGGAACTCATCACTTCCTACAAGTTTTACTAACTTGTTATCATGTAGTTTGTCTCGATTTCACATATCTCATGAAGATGGATTGTGTATCTTTCTTATTTTCATATTCTCTCACATGCCAAGTTGTTAGATGCCAAGTTGTTAAAAGCATACATGAAAATGACTTGTATTTCAGCTATAGTATTGAGCAGCCAAATCGATAGAACAAAAAAAATCGAGTGAACAAAAAAAATAAAAGTGTAAAACATGAGATGAGATGAGATCCACTAAATCGGATACAACTAATAAAAACTATTGAGGTTAAGTTTAAACTACTAATCTAATCATCAGCTTGACCCTCTTCATCATTTGAGTACTTCTTCAACAATCTACTTTTCATCAACTTTAAAACAGCTTTGGACTCTTCATCTGGACATAAGTCGGGAGAAGTTGTTAACACTTTCATATCCTCGTAATAAGCGTGACTTCTCTTAGCCTCAGCATCGATTTGAAGAGCACGATCAGCGAGCTTGTGTCCTTGTTCTAGCACCGCAAGCTTTCGTTCCTGAATGTCTGAAGCTCGCTTGAGCTCTTCAGTCCTCTCTGTATCTAAGTCAGCCTCTTGGCGTTGTCGTTTGGCTTTTTTTTGGCCAATAGGACGTTCAAACGGGTCGGAAGAAGGTGGTGGTGGTGATGAACGTGTAGAAATGATAGGCGAGCTGATGGAGGATGAGACTGAAGTGTTGACTGAGGATTTCTTGAGCGGATCGATGGGTTGAGCCCATTTAGGATGTCGATGCAACACCTGCCACGCCACCTCATCTTCAAACACCTCCTTAGTTTGATTAAAGTACTCCTTCTTAGCTATACCCATGAAGTCGCTGGGAGCGGATCCGCTAGGAGGGTTCCGGACAATTGGCCAGTAGATGGCGGAGAATTTCAACGTAGCGGTGTTCAGAGGTTTCCAACTAAAGATCCAATCAGTTCAAGGTCACAAAGTCAAAGGTGAGTCATATAAACTCACTGGTTCTGGACCTGTTTATCTGTCCGCTCGATCCAGTTGTGGTTCTTGGCTGCTTCGTTGTAATGCTCAGCCACCTTTCCATAGAATATCGCACCAGACTGATTATTTGATTGAATCGTGTTCTCGCTGACAGTGACCCACGAAATTGCCAATTGCTCGTCTTCTAAAACGGTCCAGTTGGGTGATCGAGTCCTGGCTGCTCGTGTAGTACTCGGAGTGGATCCATCCATCAAGAGAAGGTTTGATGAGGTGTGTGATGAGGCGTGGTGAGAGTGATGTGGAGTGGTGTGGGTGTTGGTGAGGTGGGTGCAGGGTTTGATAGGGTGAGACGGGGTTAAATCAAGGGTCGTGGAGTTAGTTAACGCCGGGGTTAGCTGGGAGTAAATTTGACGCCGCTTGAAGATTTTTTAAAGAATATTTAACTAACCCCGGCCTAAAGATTCACGGCTGTGAATTTCGGGTCGGGTTTAGTTAAATATTTAACTAATCCGCCCCGTTAATCCAACGATTGGAGATGCTCTAAGGACCAGGCGCAGGGAGCCCAAGTCTTTCGTCTCCTTATCTGGTTTTCTACTATCAGAGGTGACTTTGACTTTAGGATCACCGCCTAGGTTCCACTGTATAACGAGTGACAGGCCACTGGCTGTCACCTGCCTTACCTATCTATTCCCATGCACCACTTCCAGATGTCACAATAGTGGAAACTTGAACCTGGTGAGTACTTTCCGTAGGATTGGCATACAAATTGTTCCTGATCACTCATCGACTGACCCTTTCACTTCAACCACTCCTTCTCGCATGAATGGGTTCCCTGCTATTCCATTCGAACGGACTGCCTCTGTCTAGGTCCCCGGCTTTATCCAACTCGACTCTGATCTTTTCTTGGTGGTACCTCTACCAGTTTGAAGAACTGCGCGATATCCTCCAGTATTTGACCTGGATCGAACGATTGGGAGGTGATCCTCTACCCAACCTCTCGGCAAGACAAGTTAATGTGGAAACTTGGCACCCACAAATCTCCAAGCTTACCACCAGGTTTTATCCGGATGAGATTCTGGAAATTCACCACCGCGGTGGCTTTCCGGACTCAATCTTGCTGCCGAACCGAGCTAGAGAGGTAGGTAGTACCGCTCTCGCTATCTACATGGCCCGGTTGGCTACGCCTTCTCGCTATTTCGACCTGTCTCAAGTGTTCGGTCGCGATCTTTCAACCATTGGACGGATCTGCCGTTGGGTCCAAGCGTGGATGTACGAGCACTGGGGTCATCTCTTGAGATGGGATCCGCAACGTTATCCTCCTGCCGTTTTGGAACGTTTCGCGGCGAGTTTGGTGGAGGCTAAGGATTGCCCCATGGACAATTGTATTGGCTTTTTAGACGGTAAGTCCTTTTACTCGACACCGTGTGAGGTTAGGTTTTGACTAACTCTACATCCAGGTACGGTGTGGCGAATCGCACGTCCTAAGTACAACCAGCGCGCATTTTATAATGGGCACAAGCGGGTTCACAGCCTGAAATACCAGGCTGTAGTAACACCGGAGTGAGTGCTTCAATTTGGAGTGGTTGATGGTGCACGTTGACTAATGTTGTGCTTCCAATATTAAAAAGTGGAATGACGGCGGATTTAACCGAGGCATTTGTTGGATCGCGCCACGACAGTGCCATCTTGAGGATGTCCAGCCTGAGCGAGGTATTAGCACGGGATGCGAAGGGGTTCGGTGGGCGTCAAATGATGCTGTTTGGAGATCAAGGTTATCAAAACTCACCTGTAATGCTCACTCCTTATGGGGGTATCAATCTGACACCCGATCAAGCGTGGTTCAATCAAATCATGGCAACCGTTCGAATTGCCGTGGAACACGAATTTGGTCGGCTCCACAACGTCTTCAGGATGTCTCAGTACAAAGGTAAGCGGCCAGCTAGATTACTGCTTTCTAACATAGTACTGAGACACATGTTATCTACATCACTGCTTCGCATTGTGTAGATAACCTCCGATTCTATGTCCAAGAGCTTAACCCTTTGTATCACTGCGCGGTCTTACTTAAAAATTTTTTGATTTGTTGTGGCCGAGGGCCACTGGGAGGGGTCGCTGCTCCACCTACTTTGGAGCAGTATTTGGTTCAGCCTCCGGTGCTGCCTCCAAGGGATGTTTAGACTCTGGAATACGGGGGTTTGCAATTGTGTGTTTCAATGTTGTTATGTGTAGAACCGGTATTTGGGGATTGGATTCTGCATATCCCTCCTGAATGAAAAGATTGTTAATGACATGCTCGTGTATTAATGAACGCACCTTTGCCCAAGTTCACGACATCCAAAGTGGGCGCCTACTTTGGATGTTCTATCGATCTTTGCCATCGATGATGGCAAAGATCGATACAATGGTGGAGACCATTTGCTCGCTGGATGCTTTGTTAGGATCCAGCGAGCAGATTAACAGAGTGGCTCGAATAGATTGAATCTCTGTGATTTCACGGTGGCACGTGAAGGCACAGATAGCAGACGATGTCCTGAGAGTGACCGCGCTCCAAATGATGTGAGGGCTCAAACATCTTGGTATATCATTCACCATAATGAAATACGTTACAAGTGGACTCAACAGCGAATTACAACAAAGAGCCTTTTGGACAGGCGGATTCAAATGAGATAAGGGAGGGGAACGATTGATTGGGGCATGTGGACAAAAGCATTTCAACATGCGAGAGGACATGGTATAAATAACCTTGGATGTGTTGTGAAAACCAGAAAAGAGGACCTTCGCTGGCATGGACAAAAGTGGTGGTCAGTCCCTGTGTAACGTATGATCAAACACTCAAGTCGCGCTAGACCTACCGAGTGAGTAACATCAATTGGCGCCTGGCGCAGCTGTGCGTTCGGCTATCATCTTAAGTACAGAACCCATCTCATTGAGAGATCCTTGAACACTGGCCATAGACGTCTTGAGCTCGTTGATCTCAAGACCGTTGGCTTCCTTGTCTTTGCGAGCCTCTTGAAGCTCTTCACGTCGCAACCGGAGGGTTTCGCGCGCCAATTCCGAGTCAAGGTCCAGACGAGCCTGAAATTGCCCTAACTCCCGCTCCCGCTGGAGGTTAGATACCTTGGCCTGTTCCAGATGTTGTTTGAGCGCTTGTGAGGTGAGCTCATTGGCTTTTTCAGCCGCTTGGCTGCTTTTGAGGGTTACATTGACCATATGACCAACCGAGTCATCACCTTTGAGTTTTTTAAGTAAAGTGTTCCTTATGACCTTTAAAGAATTACGAGGTCTTGGCCCTCCTTCGGGATCGTCTGAGGCAGGGTCTTCATCAAGCTCCACTTGCGCCCAAGGAGGCGCAGACCGAGGTCGGATCGCCCGTTCGTCACGGAGTGCATTGGCACGAGCGATGGCCTTGGCGGCAGCCTCCTTGGACGCCTTGGCCTCTTGAACCGTGGCGATCATGTCCTACAGGTGAGATGAGCACGGTTTAGATCGTCAATCGTTGACAAAGGTTACACAACCTTGAATCATAGACGTACGTTTTCTTGAGAAAGAAAGGCCTTGATTATTTCACGGAGTTCTTCATCGTTCTCCTGCGTCCCACTTGCGCGTGCCGAAGCGGCCTCGACCTGGGGCAGCCACGTCTTCGATAGAAAGTCGTACCGGTTTTGCAACGTAGTGGTCTTTGGGTTGGCTGACAAATTATCAAACATTCTCCCAGCTTCAGGGAGTGTCTGCAAAGAAACGAGGCCAGTTAGACCCACCGGGACCCAGGGTACCAATTGGATTTAGATAGATTTATTTAATTACCTTGATGTATTCAGTACACCGGTGGAACCGATCGTTTTGCTCTTTGTGGACTGCAAACGGTCGGAAATGCGCCAAATGCAAGAGCCAGAAGAGATCCACGTTGCCCGGCGGGCCCCAGCGCATACGACCGGGAGTTGGAACCTTGTTGTTCGACACGACGGGTGATTTCGGGGCAACCTGCCAGACATTTTCCGAAGTGAAAGGCCATGTCGATGGGGCGGCATCTTGATCGAGTAGCATCGAACTGGCCACTGTCGAAGTCATCCCACTTCGTGCAGAATCGGTCGTCAGATCTGAGTTACCAGGGCGAGTTTCCACAGCGTGGCGAGGGCCTTGTTGGCCTTGAGTGACCACCACCGGCGTGTTTGAAAGCACAGAGTGAGAGACTTGGCCTGGGGGAACCAGAGCTAGTGCGACATCCGGGGTGTTATGAACGTTACGGTTCATGTCACGGGTTCCCAAAATGGCACGGTCAGCTGAGGGGTTCTGGAGAGGAGTCAATTGCTGAAGGCCTGGCGCCGTAGACAAAAGGCGTCCGAACGGTCGATATTGAACCGTAGGGTTGATGTGGCCTGCGTTCAAACGAGACGCAGGCGCCACTGTTGGCACTGGGCCTTGCGCCGGAAGAGAGGCCGTTGGTTGAGATTGAGGAGCACTGCGAGGTGGCTTACGAACACGAGGAGCTTGACCTGTGACTGGTCTGGGAGGTGAAACTTGGCGCCGTGCACGTGTGTTAGGAAGCCCGGGGTCTTCCCCAGCATGTTTCACTGGTGACACCTTCCTCACCAGGGGCTTTTCACCCACTTGACCCATTGGCGTAGAAGAAGACGGGGTCGGGGTGGATAACATAGAGGGACGCAAGGGACCATGTCCCTGCTTGCGAGATGAGGCCAATCAGGCAGCTACAACGTAACCAGCATATCGGTCAGTGTCAAATATAAGGATTAGCTTGGGAGGTTTCATAAACGGACCTGAAGGCCCAGGTGACAGCTGGGCCTGTTCTCCTTCCGAATCAACTAAAAGGTCTCGCATGACCTCGTCTTCGCCTGAAGAGGAAGATGGCCGTTCAGGTCGAAGCACGTCAAGGTTATATCGTGCTGAGGCAGCTGCCTCGCGGCTGGGGGTGAGGCCATCCCGGGACCAAGGCAGGGGATCCGACTGATGATCCAAACCATTCATTGATCTGGCAGCATTACACACGCTGTTGAAAGATACCGCTATCTTATCATCTGAGATAACTCTGGTCGAGCGCCAGTCCACAATATCGGCGTAGTCCTCGCGTGACCGCCATCTCGGATGAGAGGTGTCGTGTGTGAACGAATCAGCAGGGATTCGTCCAGGTCTACAGGTGAGCATCCCCAACGCTCAGTGTCAGCGGCCGATATGCCAAATGGAGTCACAGAATAACTGACCTGGGACCGCTAGGAACCCACACGGCGCCTGGAGCCGCCTGTAACAGCTCAGCTTGGCTTGGCGGTGCCTCATTCGCGTTCGGCAGCACGTCACTGTGACCTGCGCTAGAAGGTATTGGAACCTGCAAAGACAGAACGGCATGAGGTTTCCAAAGGCATCCGCTTGCGTTACACTATGTAAACGACCTGACTTACTTGCGGTTGAAGGGCAGGCACATGGCGTGTCCCACTGCCGACTGTCACTTGGGCCGGCGACCTATTTGAAGCCAGAGTTGGAGGACCAACTCTCTGTGCAAAGTGGGCAAAAAGATGTTAGAATACGTGAAACTTGCTCTTAAGCATTCGATGTGAAACAAGACAAAACGCTCACAGGCAAGATTGGTGAGTTTTCCTTCCGTTCAAACTCGAGCGAACCGAACACCACCGTGTTTCCAAGCCCGCCAGCAGTTCCGCCAGGTGTTCCCATATTGGACGTGGGAACTGGAGACCTAGCGGAAGAATGGCTCCCCCCAGACTGGTTACGCGGATCCACATTGCCAGCCTGGCGGTGTGTAGATATCAGCAAATCGAGTGAGTGCCAGCCTTAAATCTCACATTACCCATAACAAACAACATCTAAACGTAACACTCACCTGAACAGGCAACGTGGTGGTCACGTTCAGACCGCTTAACGGTGACCAGTTAGCTCGAGAGTGTGGTAGCGACATAATAAACTGATATATATCAAAGTTCAATTAATTAGCTTTTCGTAGTACTTTGAGACGAGGTAACGGAGGGTAGGAACACACTTGATTTTATATATGAGTGTGTTCCTAGCCAGAAGAAATCATGTAAGCGACCCATGACACCCCCAACTATCTAACCAAAGACGATGAAACTCACTGAAGCGAATAAAGATTTGGAGAGTTTGTGATTGTTTCCGGTAGCTACGAGGAAGGATTTCAGCTACGAAAAAGATTCCAAAACCACTGCCGGAACAAAAGGAAATAAACTAACCGCACAGATACGGATTTCAAAGAACTTATGACTGAGGAGTTCGGAGTGCAGGTAGGATATATGCACACATATATATATGTGTGCATATATCCTGTACACCTGCGACCTTTCACAGAAAGGTTATTTCAAAACCCATACCTATTTGCTGCGAGAGAACCTCACGAAGGTTGACCAGACGAGGCCAACCGGACAGAATTGCAACAGAGTGCAAGATCAACCACTTACAAATGGACATCCAATCGCGTGTTGGACGTCAAATTCGTCATTTAGTAGGGAAATAAAAAGATCATGAAAGTCGAACTTTTTATTTCCTTACTACGCAATGCCACCAATCTGGGGTCTGGCAAAGAGCAACATCAAAGAATCATAATTCGTGAATGGTAGAAGACGTGCCTCACTGAAATTATCTGAGGCACGACTTCACGAAGACTACTGAATCGCTAATCCCATGGTGTATTGCGTCTCAGATTGAAAAATAACCCCAATCTGAGACGCGTATGTGAACGAACGTGGAAAATGAGTGGTTTTGGTACTACGAAGACCTGCGATTCTGCGCCTTGTCCTTACTCTCTCAGACTGACTCTCAGTTGACTTGATGACAAAAAGGTGACCCGGATGATATAAGAGCCGGTTCCGTCCTGTCTTCTCCTTTGAAAGTTGACAATCTGGCCCTATTCCTCGAGGTTGACAGATGTGATTGAATGGGTTTAGCTCCGCATTTTTTCAACAATTGTAGACAATTTTTTCTGAGAGGAAAAGTTCAGTGCGTACATAAGGCGGAACCCTGGCTAAGTCCCTACCCTAACAAGGTCCCTCTCGGCGAGTGAGCCTGCGAGCTAGTCCCAGGCTATCCCCCGCTTCTTCGGTCTACCGGCCTGCGAGAGAGGGGGGCCGGGCTAACTTTTAAGTCCGGTGTAGGAGAACATAGACTTTGATTTTCCATTAACCAGAGTCTCACAATTATTAGTGGGGCAAATGTTTTCTTTTTTATGTATCTTATTACTTTATTTCGTGGTTATGTTTCTCATCTGTAATTTCCACTTCATATACTTTCTCCTACCATGGTCAAAATACCGTGAGTAATGAGGCTTAGATATCTCTAAGTCTCTTTACGTGTTTGGGGGGGGCCAATAGGCCGCGGGTTTTCTGACCGGGTAGGCTCTCTGCTACCTATTCTCGGGACATATCGTCCGGAGCCTGCGGAGAGCCTACTCGGTATGGCCCGAGGCCAGATTAGTCACGACCTCCCCTTTCAAACTCAAACGTATATCAACGTCAAACAACGTTTCGCTCCTTTTTCTTTGTCGATAACGCTCATCTCTGTTTCTGCTATTTCACAGACGTCCTCTAACTCACAGCTACTGAACAACAACATTTGATACCACAACAAGAAACCCAGCTTTCATCCTTGACTTAGTCCCATTTAGTTCGACTCTATCTTCATTCTCTCCCAAACCATCTTGGCATCTTTCACGTCTCCTTTGCTGTACTTCCTCAGATATAATTGGTACGCCTTCGACTCCCAACGTCCAGCTCTCACAATATCATCCAAAGGTATTTTATCGTTCCATTTAAGTGTGGCTCCTCCAATCCTAAACGAGTGACCTGATAATTGATGGTTTGTTTGATTTTTACTCCAGACTCTTTTGTAAATATTCAATGTCACGGCCTTCGTTAGAGTCAAGCGCTTTCCTTTCCCGTCTGTGTAGGATAGCAATCGATCGGTTAAGTCATTACTCGGGCTCTCTGCGAACACCCGTTCCAACGCCCTGACTGGACATAGATGCGAAGGTATACGTCGAAGATGCAAATATTGGAGTTCCCCGGGTCTGGCGGTTTTAGCATTATGTAACGCTAACTTTAAGTAGGAATGGTCTGGTGAGTAAATTACATCTCTTCTTAACACCAATGCCTTCCCCTTTTCATCTGAGACTAATTCTCCCAATCGAGCCATACCCCAGAATGCCATTAATGCGATTGCTAACGCTAAATGTTCTTTCTTGCCTCTTTTATCTAGTTCAATTACCAGTTCGGCCAAGTGTCTCAATTGTACTGGCTTCCTAACATTATTACCGACTTCCTTACACCTCGCGTCTGCCACACTCGCCGATTTCAGTAGCAATTTAGATACTCTATCATTTTCATGTGGGAATGGTTCGTTATGGAATAAGTGCCACGATCGTATTCCCGATATGTACTTCACTAATGTTTCTGCTGTCACTTTATGTTTTGCGTTCATCTCATCTATTATGTCTTCATCATCAAAATCGATATTGAATTCTCTACCACCCCATACGATGAATGACCACATCAAGTCTTGAGATAAAGGTAACAATTCACATCGGCTTAATTTTTCCGCCTCACCGAACTTCTCTAACTTTGCCATCGCTGTACTATAGTTCTGCAGCGTTGCTTGCGACCAACTCCCATTCAACAACCTAGTTTTTATTTTATCCGATCTCCAATCTATAATTCTATTTGTACAATGAAGGTTCAATGAAGCAGGGAGAAGGATTCAAATGAGCAAGACTTCAATGTTATCTAATTCAACTATCTTTGAACAATCAATCACTTACCCTTCCCTATTCTTCAAGAAAACCATAATCTTCTTCTCACTCGTCATCATTTTCAACTAATCTCGCTTCAATATATTGAGCAAGTTCCTTGGTAGGTCGATCCGTACTTGCTGGTGAAGATCTTTGTTCTTTTCTAACCCTCTTGACAATTTGTCAGCGTTGTTGTCTCCTGACGTGACTCTTCGTGCTACGATCGAACAGTTCAAACGAGTAAGTACCTTCTGGATTTCCTTCCACTCTTCGTTAACTAATTTGTGTTTTGACTTAAATTTTGTTATCACTGCCTCTGTTGTAGTGTTGTCGGTATAGACGATAAACTTTTGGTTGTTGGTTGGACGCAGTTGTTCTATCATGAGTAAGCCTAAACGTACTGCGACAGTCTCTAGCCATGCGATATCACGCTTCTGACATCCCTGTGATATACCTTCTGTCTTCCAACTGTCAGCTAAAGTGAAACTTGACCACCGGCTTCCAATTAGCACGCCGATCCCGTAACCTGTACTCGCGTCTCCGACCCACTCTATCTCGGTAGGTTCAATATCTTCGGTAAATATCAACCTGTCAAAGTTCTCAAGACCCCGCAACCACTCTTTCAATTCTTCTTTCGCTCCTTCAGGCACTTCTCTCAGCGCACTATGATTATACCACGACTTATCCCACCAGTACAGATTCCAAAGATAACACCTCATGAAAGGTAACAAGTATATTAAGTGACTGAGCTGCCCGACAATTTTCTCAACCTCTTTCTTTGAGCACTTCCGTGCGGGCTGAAGTAAGTCTTTTATCTTTTCAATCCGTTCCAACAATTTTTCTTCAGGTAGCCTAACTGACTTGTCTTCCCCGTTCCATATAAACCCTAGGTATTTTTGCTCGGTGTTCCAATCACAAAACTTTTCTTCGTTGGACTGGACTCCTAAATCCTTACTAACTTGTATCACATCTCTCATTTCAAGTAAGTCACCTTCAATTTTTGCGAACATATTGTCATCAACCCAACGGAACACCACATCAATGTTGAACTTTGCTTTTATTATATCTCTCCATGCGTCTGCCATCCACCCAAATGTCCCACAGCCGGCGACACCTCCAAAAGGTATCCGAGTGTCTACCCAAATCCGGCCTTGAAAGTCTTTGATTGTTAGGTACCTCCACTGCGATGGTTGAGTTGACCCCTGCCTATACGCTTTCAACCAATCGACAATTGCTAACAAGATCTTCTTTTTCAGATTCGCCTTAAAGTAATTCGCTACCTGGTTGAAATCATCCCACACTACGCCAAATCAATAATATACCATGGAGTTTAGAAAAGTCAAGATGTAGAAAATTCTCAGCAATGCATGAGAGGTAGGAAAAATTCGAAGAAAATATGGTTGAATCAGTCTTTGATATCCCATCATGTTGCATATTTTTTCATATTTTTACCTTGAGTTTTGAAGATGTTACATAGAAAAATGATTTTGGGGTGTATTTGGTCAGAAACTCAAATTTTGGCCAAAACTACCCAGGCTTGGGCAGAAACTTTTCAACAATCACAAATACAACAATTTTCTTTCAATCAAACTGGCAGTTGCAGATTATGAGAGGCCGCATACTGGATCTACAGTTTCCATTTGGATGCTAAAACCCTTGCGGGACAGATTTATAAGGTTTTCTAGCTTTGCTGTTGGGGATGTTGATTGCTGTACCTTCTTCATTTTTGGATACACACCACTCATTCTAATGTGTATCTGGTAAATTAAAAATGCAGCTTTCAGAATGTGCAGACATTCCAGATGTTGACACAAAATTGACAATTTGATTGGTCTCACAAGGTTAATGCCTCCATGAATGCCAGCTTTGGACATAAACTGAGTCTCTGACCGAATATACACTGCTGCCGTAAAAATCTTTAAAAATATGCAAAATGATGGGCACACACAGGGGAATGCAACCCTTATTTTTCCATATTTTTTTGACCCCTTCTGCCTTGTGTATAATTTTCTATGTCTTTTTAATTCTTTAAACTCAGCGGTAAATTTGCAATCTGGCGTAGTGCCAAGTGGTGTCGAAATCATGTTTATTTACAAAAGAATTTACTGAAGGTATATCGTATTCTTGTGAATTGTATCTAGCCGTCCGCGTCCACTTCACTGCTACATCTGTCCGTGAGTTTACATCTTCATCCTCTGACTCCGTTTCATCATCACTTCCTGAGATCTCCTTCCTTTTCTTCTTGATTACAACTTTTGCCTTGGGGTAAGATAGATCATTTATCATCCGAAGTGATCCATCGTTATTCGTCACGCTCCCCATTGGATTAGAACGAAAGAAGCCGAACCTCTTAAATACTTCTTCATGAGTAAAAGGCCCAAAGATTCGTCCGAATCTTCTCTCTTTATATAGATTTTTCATTATCTTGTCTTGAACCGCTGTTGCTGATTTATGGTTATCGGGGGTAAACCATTTCTCTTCTTTCCAGGTATGTGTAGGGATACCTTGGTTAAATCCACCGGTCAGTCCTTCCCACACTTTCTCCCATTTCTCTAGTAGCTCATATTCAGTCAATAAAGCCTTCCACTCATTTAAGTTCATTTCATTCTTTGCTTCCGTTGGCCAGTTACTCAGAGATTCAGGTGTGTCAACTCTGTCGTCTTCGTCGGCATCTGGAAGTTTTGGTTCATGTACTTGATTCTCAACATGCGGCGCGGTACGAATTTTTAACTCAAATGATCTGTTAGATTTTCTCAGATTCAATTAAACAGAAAAGGAAAACAAGAGAACAACACATTTGATTAGCTATTTATAAGGTCCAACATTTTTTTTTTTTTTTTAAAATTGAAATAGGGCAAATTCAAACAAAATAGGGAGACAACTTGAACAAACAGAAGATCAGAGGAATAACTAAAACAAGTAAGATAAACATCTATACATGCATCATTTTTTTTTTTTTTTTTTTGAACTGTTGTTTCCAACTGTCTAATACAACTCACGTTGAACCTGATGCTGCACCTTCGACAGATTTCTCTCCACCTTTATTTGCCATCGATTTGTCATGACTCCCAGGGCCTATTGCAGGACAAGTGCCTCCACCTCGGCCAGCTGTCCATCCTCTACCTCCCCTTTGCGCACTGCCTCTACCACCTCCTCGACCTCCTCTAGTATTCTGATAAAAGTCATTTTGGTAGATTGTCGGACTTGGATTTGTATAGTGGTTCGGATTATAATACGGCGCAGGATGAGTAGCATTTCGGTCATAAAGTGGGCTAGTACGGTCAAAGGCCGGGTTGTAATGTCTACCCTTAAATCCATTACCTCCTACTTTACCCGACGCTGACATTCTTGCTAAAGGTTGCGACACCGGTTGGTTAGTGATTGACGATAAACTCCTTCCTGTCAACATATCCGCTTGAGTGTCAATTAAAGCAGTATTGGAGTCCCACGAGGCATTCTCCGGGTAAGTCTCCCCGTTAATAGGGCTTATGTGTTGCATGACATTTCCAAAGGCATATGGGTTATCGATGTACTTATAATCGTTGAAATGTTTCGCATCTTCTTTCGCTCGATCAGCCAATTCTTCATTCAGCATTCCGACATCGGCCATTGAGCCATCTGGTAACCGATTCTCCCAGACATTGCGACGATGTGCGATATCATAACGCATAGCAGGAGTCCACTTCCCATAGCATTTTGCTTGGATAGCTAGAACATTCTCTTTATGAACTTTCAATCTTGGTGCTATTGGTGAGTCTTTTTGAGAATCTAATACATCGTACTTCTCCTCTTGATATTTGACCATTAAATCGTAACGAGTTGACCACTGCATTGGCGTTAATCTATGTTCGTTTACATAGGGTAATCCCACATAAGAAATGATATTTGTCGAACAGCTGGTCTTTAATGATCTACTTTTCATGAAGATAGAGTCTTGTATAATCCAAGTCGGGTCAAAAATTGAAACTGGCATGTGGATGTTTTTATTAAGCATTATATCATGGAAGTACTGTGATAAACCTGGCATGTTATTAGATGGTAAGGAGCCTAATGTCATTTTAGTGTTTGTTTCAATCTTGGATTTTGATTTTTCTTTGACGGTTTCAGGTTGAACTGGTTCTGTAGCGGTCTTCACTCTATAGGTATAATTGATCATGCCTATATCACGTGGTTCAGTGTCTTCATTTTGACACCAGTGTTGGTATTCTTCCCAAAAGACTCTATACTGGCCGATGTCTCTCTCGAACGCTTCTCGAATGTTCGCAAGCCATTTAGCGTGGCCGTGTTCGATATGGACAGGCTCTAGCATATTCTCTATATCAGGACCTGCACCAAATCATTATCAAGTTTTTGAGAGAAGGATCACTTTGGTAAGTACATTGTTTTTTTTTTTTTTTTTTTTGGAGTTTTATTATTGAGTTTTATTATTTGGATTATCAAACGTCTTTGTTTAAGGTTGTTCATACAGTGACTTCTCTTTTTTTTTTTTTTTTTTTTTTTTTTTTTTCTTTCCGGCCACACTAGAGATTTCTGTAGGCCACACTGGGATATATTATTCAGGCTACACGTGATTATCATTCAGGCCACACTAAATCATCTTTCAGGCCACACTTTTTCATTGTATCTTCTGGCCACACTGGGGGGGAATTCTCACGTACAGGAGACATTGTCTCAGTTATCACCCGGGATACGGTGGGTTCGTAACTTAATTCTGCTTGTGAGTCATGTTTTTAATTATCTGAAGTTGGAGATTATTGTGGAGAGGACTTATATAGATACCATGACCACAACTGTTTACGACTGGTATAGTTCTGAATGAAAAATTTCTAAAGAATGCTTTATGGATCACTAACCTAAACCTGTTATGTTTTCACCTCGATTATTCTCCTCATTTCCACCACTACTTCCTTGACCTTCGGTTTTGATCTTCCGTCAGGTTTCCTTCTGTTTGATTGCTTGGATTGCCAGTTTGACCACTTGATGATTGATCGATCGGGTTGATAGTTGAGTTACCTCCTTCACCTCTTCCTTTCCCTTCACCGCTACCTCCTTCGTTCATCACATTCATGGCTTTGTTTTTCTTTCCGCTCCTAGTCCTACCCTTCACAGTCTCGGTCAGTTGGCCAGGTGTCGATTCTCTTGGAGGAATACTATCCGGTACTGATGCCGAGTTCGTGTTTGACATTTCGATAAAGTTAATAGATAGTCTTGGGGTAATTGATTACTCTGGAAGAATCGAAGGAAGAACTAAGATGAACTGGATTGGAATAAAACGATGAATTGTACAGTTTAATGTGTATCAGGGAATTGGTGCTACTGAGTCTCAGTGATTTTTCTTTTCTTTTTACTTTTAATCACTTGTCTTATGAAATATGAATTATATTGTATGTGGTAATATAGGTTTGACTATATCTTGTTGGTTATTTAGATGATAGTAATCTTGAAAAGAAAAATTTTATAAGGAATTGTGAGACTTTCTTACTCTTCCTTCTTTTGATGCGATGATGTGAGTGAGTTATTCAGAGGGAAAGAATTTTGATAATGGAATTATTACATTCTTCAAAATTAGTTTCCGTTGGGGAAATCCTTTCCCCAACCCGTCTCGGTACTCATTTCCTCTGGTACCGAGTCTGCCCGAGCCTTGCTCGCCTTTTCCTCTTTCATGGAACTACGCAGGTGCCGTCGTTCCTTTGGGCACCTGCTGCATGTATTGGTTTTGGAAAGTCAGTCCCAAAGGAATGCGGAAGTTGTGGTTCAATTAAACTCAACAAAGTCCCACGCTGCGTCTCGCACGCTTCGAGCGCAGCGAGGGACTTATGACAACGAGGCACACTTTTGCCTGTGAGGGGAACCAGTTTTTGCAGGAGAAATTTGCCTTCCTTATAAAACTTTTTCCCCTATTTGTGAAAAATCGAGATGCAAAGAAATGAAATGTTCGCCTCTCTGAGGCGCATCGATTGATCAAACAAAATCCCGAGGAAGCCGAGGAATTCCTCCTCTACTGGCTTCTGAAGTTTGAAGTTTTTGATGAAATTGCCTTGTATTCGTATGTATAAACCACTCTCGAGGGTCAAATACAGGTCAAAACACTCGAAAACACTCCAAAATCCTGAACTTCAGAAGGAATCTGAAAGGACATTCCTCGGCTTCCTCGGGATTTTTTTGGATCAATCGATGAGCCTCATAGAGGCGAACATTTCATTTCTTTGCATCTCGATTTTTCACAAATAGGGGAAAAAGTTTTATAAGGAAGGCAAATTTCTCCTGCAAAAACTGGTTCCCCTCACAGGCAAAAGTGTGCCTCGTTGTCATAAGTCCCTCGCTGCGCTCGAAGCGTGCGAGACGCAGCGTGGGACTTTGTTGAGTTTATGGTTCAATGATCGATCAAGTTGAGATGATTTGTACAATTTTATTGCTTGCTAAAATGACAGCTATTGAAGGCTACAACTTGGTTGTCAAATCTGTCAATTTTAGTCAAACTCAAAGTTGTTTTAAATACAAGAATTTGAAGTTGAAATGTTTGAGTTGGTTTTGGATAGAAACTTCAAAACTACAAAACAGTAGAATTTGTCAATTGAAAGATATTAGGATCAGTCTTTTTAAGCTTGAGAGATCTGTCTCAGTTGTATGTATCTCATTTTGTGATTTCATTTGATTCTTACCTGATCTTGAGTGTCCAGTTGAGTGAGGTCCAGTGCTCACTGCTAGGCGTGTTCCTTCCTTCATCTCATTTCTGACTCGAGTCACTCGCTCCTTCGAGTCTTCAAACTTCAGCCTACACACATTTCATCACCATCATCAGGCTTTCCTTCAGCAGTTCACAACTTCACCGCCTCCAGTTTTCGAGCTTTTCGACATTCAACTTCGAGAGTCTTCCACTGGTGCCACCATCTGATCTGATCAACTACGATATATCATATTGAATGTACTAGAACTGTACCTTTTTTTGTTTGACCAAGAATTTTGATTTAACTAGGAAACTGTGAACGATATATACAAAAGAAGATTTACAGTGAATATACTATATGAACTGATTGGTTATTTTACTTTTTTATATATCAATCTTCAAGTACACACCCACCCACCATGGAATACGATGCCACTCAATCATCATCTTCTGATTCACTCGAATTAGGACCTCAGCGTAGAGCACCTGGCAAGGAGAGGTTAACATTAGCTGACTTTCTTCGTACTACTGCTCCTGCTGATTTTAATCCAGGATTGAAGAATTCATCTCAATCTGTCAATCAACCACGTCCATCTAGGATTCCATTAGATTTTCAACTTTCTAAATTGAATGCTACACTGTTCGCTAATAATAAAACTACAAGTAGACCTTCTTTACCAATCAAACCATCATCATCAGCTTCAGTCTCCAATCATCAGGGTCACACTACTAACATTCAACTTCAAGCACCATCAAGTCAGTCTCATCCCATTCAAAAATTAAGACATGCTGGTACGGCTAGTCATCCTGATTTAGCTAGCTTAGTTAGAGTAGCCCGTAAACGATCAAAGACATTGATCACTCAACCGGATTCATCACTTCAACCTCCATCTGAGAATCCTAATCCGTCTACAAGTACATTTCATTATTCGGCTCATCTTCCTTCTAGTTCTAATCTCTCTTCTACTACCATTGCTCCCCGCGTAACTCCATTACCTAAACCTAAACAAGCTCCTTCATCACCCATCAGAGCTATCTTACCAAATAACGCATCCTGTCATCAATTCAACAGTTTGAACTCTCCAGACGATTTCAATCCTTACAGTCAATCTCCATCTGGTCCTGGTTGTCGGAATAGCGCTCCTATCACCACTTCTTCACATCCTTCCGTCGTCTCTCTTCAACCAGTTCGACTCGCTCGAGCTTCAACAGGATCAAGTAGGTGCTACAGTATCTCCTATTCCGACGATCCTGGTACCGACCACACCAGTCAAAGTACTCTTAACAGTCAACTTGCAAGCCTTCCTACTGAGTCTCCTTATTCTCCTCCAAGTTTATCACCCTCACTTGATCCACCTTTGGCATTCACTTCGGGTACTGGTGGTACCGGTTTGGCTGGATTGGTCGCAGCTCATAAGGAGCGTCGTAAAGCCAAGGATAGCTCTTCTTCTCGATCTATCAATTCTGATACCGACTCTATCTTCCTGAAGTGCAAGTCATCTAGCGGGCAGCAGTCGATCTATGATTTCCTCAGATCCACTCATCCTCCTAAGCGTAGCACTGCTCGTAGTACAGCTTCAGACACCGCCGACGAAACAGACGAAGAGGGTGAAGATACACGACACATACGGAGAACACTCGAACCAGTACCTCCTGCAGCCTTCCAATACTTTCATCGACTTTTGCCAACTAGCTCAGCTATAAACGTTGATTATTCTCAAGAACCCAGCAGATCCGTTGTCATGGATCGCTCTGCATCTCATGCCGCCTTGAATCTTAACGGTCAATGGGCTTGGGGTGGACAAAATGACAACCACACCGAACCTCTCGACCAACATAGCTTGTTCCATACTACCCTCAATTCTCCTGTTACTCTCACACCTGTTGACATGGCCAAGTCAGCAAAGCTCAACTTGCGCAATAGATCAATTTCAAAACCAAATCCACCTACCTCATCTCATCCTTCTCGTGAGGAAGACGCGCAAGCAAACGTAAGTTGTCCTATCTATCACACTCCCTCCTGCCTCACTTCTATCTTCATGATTTGTCAACTCTCGCCTCGAGCCATGAACGCGCGTCGTCATCAAGTCGGATCAGTCTTTCTGATTGGTCATCTTTACCACTCAAACATCTGTTGGAGAAATGATGGAGATTCATACACCCCTGTGGTGCACTGTGTATTCTCATAACCTTGGTCATCACCCTTGCCTCGGCCTATGGCTCTCATGGCACCGCTGCAAGGGTCGGAGACTTTTCAATGCAGGGTTAAACAACCTACAAACCCAAATGAATTGATGAACTGACCGTGTCTTTTGCTTTTCCCCTTTACCTCCCTATCATGACATCCTCCTTTTGTTTATCGCCCCTCGACTACTGTCAACAATGTCGTTTGCCATCACCCGTACCTTCCTTTCCTCATGAAAACCGTACGGATTCTCAACCACCCGACGATCTCCTTTGTTGACCGACCGCCGCGGTCAACCTCTTTCATGAACAACCATTCACCATTTATGCTTTCTTCTTGCCTTTTGGTCTGACGTCACACGCATAATTGGCCCATTCTCACTACGCGACATCCCATTCAACATCTTCAATTCACAATTTTATTTTCTGCTTGCTTTCGTCACGCCTCAACTTCTCCTCGTATATCCTCGCGTCATTCCAACCGTCCTACGTGATCCCAATCAATCTTCACCGTGCAAATCATCTTCATTGTCTACTCCGTGGTTTCGCTGGTAAAGTCGTGGTCTAGCACCATGAAAAAGACTAGCGGATTCTTCAAACGTAGATTTGGTTCGACACCCGGCGCATCAGAGTCCACAAACAATCTGAGTGATCTAGTCAATGTCCAACACTCTCGACATTTTTCATCACAATCTGATCACCATCTATCTCAGCCAGGCACAGAGTCGTGTCCTTCATCGCCTGCATTACCTCATTCATTGCATTTACAACGTCCGACTCCGCCGCCACCACCTGTGCCTACCATTCCATCTTCGTACATCCAAAATAACCCCCCAGCTACCCTCTCTCCAACGCAGTCTGACAAAAGAAGTAACGTCAAATCTGCAGCTCAATCCACCCGATCATCGCCTAGTCCTCTCTCTCCCTCTCCATCTCAGCGCAAAGCACGAGAACGTACCGACGATCTTGGGCCTGACCCCGCCATCACAAACCTCAATCGTTCACGCTCAGCTTCACCTCCCAGACATGATGCCGCGTTTGCTAAGCTTTCATCTTTCAAACCTGCTAGAAACCATTATAGTCATCCGGCCGCTAATCCAGAAGATCCGCACGCTTTGACCTTTCATCGATATGCCTCCAATATCGAGCTGAATTCGCAGAACTCGCCAAGGCAAAGGACATCAATGTCATCCTTGTCAGCTGCAGTCGCGAGTCTCCAACCTTTTGACTCTGCGGCCACAAAACCATCCCCACAGGTTAGTCCTAACTTCCTTAGCTTTCTGTTCAGCTTCTTTTCCTCACAGCTCACAACCAACCAAGCTTTCAACCCCCGCCTCTCAGCTTTACAGTGTAACAGGAGCCTCGCCGTTTCTTCATCAACCGCCTGGCTCTGTGACGCCAAAGTCAAATAAATCGAATGAAACTGGTCGCGATATCACATCACCCATCCAAAGCGAGTCGAACCCCTTCAAGCGACCTCTCAAACCTTATCCAACAGAAGCGCACGATCCCCAACGTGATTCTGACCTGAGTCCTAGGAGTGATAGTCTCTTGTCGGGCGTCATATCACATGATCCTCTGAGTCTACCGGTTGATCAATCTACTCAAGGCACAAATCCTCTCATCCAAGTTAACACGGATTTTGGAGTCTCGAAGACACACTCTAACTTACCTTCGGCTGGTTCGACTGCCTCATTTTTTTCCACTATGTCGGAAAATGGAGAAGAAGGAAAGGCGAGAGTCACCGAGGTTACCCCCAAGAATCCATTCCATCGTCAAAACTCTGTACCTCACACTCCACCAATCGGTGGTCCTACACGTTTCCAATCGCCACTTCCACGAAGTGGGCATCCACATGTGTTACCCAATTTGGATACTTCCTCAGCTGTTACTGGTCGCTCTGCCCATCGTCCACCCGAATCGAATAGGAACTCTCGTGCCGAGTCATTGAATGACATGAGGATCGACCATTCATCAAACCACAGAGCCGCGATGGCGAGGGACCTTTCTTTACCAGTCTGGACATCTGCGCGTTCAGCCAGCGCCGAATCCTGTCCAGCATCCGTTCCTTCCGATCTTCCGGTTCATAATCCCCTCTCACCTACCTTATCCGACTCGCCATGGTCCGGTAGACAACGAAGTCCACACCCTTACCTTGATTCCAAGCTGACCGGCACTCCTGGTCTCACCAATCGGCTCAGAACCGAGACTGAGGAATCGACCATGTCTAATAAGACCCTCAACATTCATGCCTTACAAGACTCTAGGCGGGCAACTGGCGATGGACATGGTGGACGGGTACCAGACGCGTCTCAGCAATTTGACGATACTTCTGAAGCAGACCTCCAATTGAATCATACTCCAAGTATCAGGCTGGTCAGCGCCCCAGAGACAGCTGCAAATGCTACTGATGGCGCCACACCCTCGAGTATGGCGCCCTCCCATCTAGGGAGCCCATACTCACAACAGTCTTCGACCTATTCCGGCTACGAATCTCCCTCGCCCATGCTTCCGGAACATCACAGAAATCCGTTTTCGCCCAATTGGAGTGGACAAACCGTGCCTTTGCCTAAAGATACCACTCCAGTTGGTTTAGGCCTCAAACTTGAACGATCTCCAGATGCTAGCGAACTTGATCCTCCAACACCTGCAAACGATCAAGAGGAGCAAAAGAAACGCGTCAGTAGGACTGGCCTTGATCGCACATCTTCACTGTCACGCAGTCTCGCTTCTTCCTCTATCACCTCCTCCTCGCCATCGACAATGCCGCTTCGAGCTTCTGGTCCCAGCACCCGACCACATACAGGTCAAGAAGATAACGATGGATGCAGTTTGGGGCCTGTGATAAGTAAACAACGCACCGTTTCTACTACCAGTACGATGAACTCTACGAAGCGGTCCAACGACACCCGCTCCACTGCGCATACTTCAGTTCATCCCAATGACTTTGTGGATCCAACACTTTCTGTAGATGAGAATGCCAAGATGCTGGCTCGAAGATGTTGGGACGAAGATGAAAGCTTTATCAGACGTGATAAGCTGGCAGAGTGGCTTGGAAGTCCTGATACGGGTGAAAATCAATTGCCAGTCTTGACTTTGAAACATTACATGAATTGTTTTGCTTTCCATCAACTGAGGATTGATATGGCATTTAGGAAGCTTTGTCAGAAACTCCATCTTAAGGGTGAAACTCAACAGATTGATCGGATCTTGGTAGAGTTTAGTCAAAGGTTTTGGCAACAAAACTTTTCGAACTTGTACTTTAGTACTGGTCAGTGTCTTTTCGATTTCACCTCATTCTGCTTCAAAACTGATTTTTCTCATGTCTTGCTTCATGGAACCAATAGATGTGGTACATGCGCTATCATACTCAATCCTACTACTGAATACCGATTTACATATTGTCGATACAACTAGTAGAATGTCAAGGTCTCAGTTTGTTAGGAATACGTTGGAGACTTTGACTGCCCAGCTCTCGGCCTTTGAAGATCTGGGTGACGTCGAGCATGTGATTGATTCTGCTGAAAGAGACACCCCAATGAGCATGAGCGATTTCATATCTTACAGTCGACCCAGTTCACCTAGCCTGAGGACAGGCACGATTGGACGTGGCTCTCAAGCATCAAAGAAGTCATCTACAGATGTAGATTCATTTGTAGACTCGCATACTAAGCCACCCCATAGCGCGATTGGGAGACCATCAATCGATAAATGGCGAGGACCCTTTAGGAATGGTAGTAATCCCGGCACGGCAGCCTCGAGATTACCTCGAAGGAGCGGTAGTGTTGCGTCGAGTGCACATCCTTTCGTCATGGTCAATGGGCCGCCAGAACTCCCTGGTGACGCTTCTCGGAGAGGATCTAATGAACTGGCTTCGCCTGCGGCCTCTATGGCTCCACAGGAAGGCATGATCAAACCTAGTCAATTCTCAAGAGCTTTGTTTGAGAAAGAGATTGAGGGACTGTTGAAGGTAAGCACGTGGCATGAACCCTTCTTCATTTTCAACACTTGCTTACTACTTTTTGAGGCGATGTAGGATATCTATACTGCCATTAAGACTCAGCCAATCTTCCAAGGTCTGAACACTGATGGTCAACCGCGCACTCCGGGCATTGGCGGAACTCGAAGCCCAGGTGCTTTGGGCGCTGAACGTCCTCAGCCACCTTTCAAACGTAATAGTTTGAGGGGACTTCCAGGATTTGGTGGCCTTTTGGCAGCGCATGGAGCAGAGATGTATGGTCCCAGGTCAAGTAGTCCGACATCGAGTACGGCACCATCGACTATGTCAGGGACTAGTGGCCCGGGTGGATTGGTGAGTGAGAGACGGCTTTTATTTGATGTCACTTTATATCAGTCACTCTATTTCAAAACGTATAATTAAGAAGACTGATTGCAAATTGATAACCGTTCACACAGGCTCAATCTAACAGCTCGACGGGTTCGCATCGGTACACGAACATGACTTCTCCTTCAATTGGATTTGCTTCTAATCTCTCGCAATCTATCATTCGAGAGCAAACGGAAGAAGAATCGAAGGAAGACCCACAAGAGCCTCCAACGTTGATGTCAGACGAAGAGTTAGCGCTGCTGGGTGCTCCTTGGGCTAAGGAGGGCTTACTTCAGCGTAAACAGTATTGGGATGCGAAAGGGAAACGACACAAGGACAAAGGTTGGGCACAACTCTTTGTGGTGATTCATAAGGGTCAATTGAAGATGTTTCAGTTTGGAGCAACTGGTCCAAGCATGAGTTCGAGTAATCAAGCATCAGGTGATGGCCCAACCGTGGGTGGTGGGAATTGGTTATCGAATGCGCAACCTATGGGAGAACTCACTCTCACTCATTCACTTTCGAGTGCATTACCTTCAGGATATAACCGAGACCGACCTTGCGCTTTTGTTCTTACACTCGCCAACGAATCTTCTTACTTTTTTCAAGCAGGTACTGCCGACTTGGTAAATGAATGGGTATCTACATGTAATTATTGGTCAGCCAGATTGAGTAAAGAACCGTTGACGGGTGGAGTTTCGAATATGGAATATGGTTGGAATCAAGTTGCCGATTTAGCAGCGATTCGAATGTCAAGTATAAGTAGAAAATCAAATGATTATAAAGGAGACGAAGAATCAGAAGGAAAAGTAGAATCACAACCCACTAGAAGTAAAAAATTAAGACAGAAGATCATTAAACCTAATTCATCAGGAAATATGTACTCAATGTCAGGATCTGAAAGTGTTAAAGGATCAGTAGCTGATTTGAGATTAACCCATAACCAACATCAACACCACGTACAATTACCACAAGCACAACAACCACCAAATCAAATCAATAGTAATGTGATGATTAATGACTGGAGTGCACCTATACCACCTAATTCGACTAGTACCTTGACGGAAGAAAATCAATTAGACAATTTAAGAAAACATTCGATTTATATGCAATTAGAATTAGAAAAACATAATTATTTAAGAAAACCGATGATGAGTTTGGTAAGTTTGAATTTTTGATTTCTTGAACGACATTTTTCCGAACATCCCACCAAGAGACTTGATTTGACTAATTGGATTGGATTTTCTTTTGAATTTTTTTCATATAGTATCCGACTAGATCTTTGAATTTCCAAAAAGCTACTAATAATTGGGAAAAGAAATCACAATACCTCTTAGCGGAAATTATCAAGTATACAACTTATATTGATGCATTAGAATGTGGAATTCATCAAAAGAATGAAAAGAGAACGAAAAGATTGGTACGATCCTTATTAGAAAATGCTGATTCATGATCAATGATTTATCGTAAGAGAAGTCGAAATGAAAGTGGTGAAGAAATCTAGTTGAGGTTAATTTGATGATCGATAGGGTTTTTCATTTCATAGATGATCAAGGTTTTCCTTTTCTTTTGGACAGTCTTGATTCTTTTCCTGTTATTTTTCTCTTTCTTAGGTTAATGAAAACGCATACTTAGGGACTTTTATTTTTGTTAATGAGGAAAGTTGATGAAGAATGAAATCCAAAGATCAAATCAAAATTAGAAAAGTGTGAATGATTTTTTTTCAATTTCAATTTTTTTTATTTATATATATATATCCATATTTTGTTCATTTATCTTTTCTTGAGTTTTTTTTTCCAATTTTTTTTTGGTATTTGGTATTTGGTATTTAGTATTTTGTGTGTGTGTGTGGGTCGGGATGTGTGAAGATGGGTGTGATTATAATTTTTCTTTTTTTCATAATAGCATTTTTCTTATCCTCAAGTTTTATTTTTCTACCTTCTTTCTTTTGGATTAGTAAAATTACAATTCTTTATTCTTTATTTTTTATTTCATTTCAAATCATATTTTCCCTCTTTTTTTTGTTTTTGTTTTGTTTTGTGTAATTCAAAATGAAATGTTAAATGTCTGAGTGTGTGTTTGTGGTGTGTGTCTTTGTTTGAAATAAATCAAAAAATTTGATTTCTTTTTCTTTTTGTGAATAATTCATATTTTGATTTTTTTTGAAGTTTTTTTAAGTAAAGTAATTGAAACTTTAATCATTATTTTTTTTGAAAAACTTGAACAGCTATTTTTGTCCAGGTTTGTGACTATACTGACAACAGTTGACTTGATATTCTACATGGTAAATATCCTACAAGTCTGTAAAAGCCTGACCATGTAACTGATTCCGCTAATTTCAGAAGCCATACAACAATGGAAATGTTGATTGAGTTGACTGCTCACTTTTTTCTGGTTTGCAATTGTTGGGAGAGACATATGTACAAGAATAGCTGTAAAGAAAGAAAAGAAGAGAAAGATATTGAACACAGATTTAATCAATTCAATTCCATGATTTTCTGCATACATTTTGGACTTTGATTAACTTCTTTTGATGGTAAGATTTGTTGAACAACATTTTTTTGTTTAGGTGATTGAAATCTTACATTTGTTTTTTAACTCTTCAGTCTAGTCTTTTTTAGCTTGGAGTGAGTTAAGGTGTTTGATAGATGATTGGTTTAGAAATGTTTAAGTGTTTTGAAAAATGAACATGGATGATGAAGTTACTACTACAGTCAATCCAAAAAAGCTTGGCCCGCCCCAAACTTATATAAGTCCCACTCGCTTCGGCCCCGTCGGTACAAGTACCACGTACCTCCGAGCGCCAGCGAGGGACTTATGCGCTATCCCAAATTTCTGGCGTGAGACTAGACAGGGCTTTCGCCAAAAACCTGTCATCTCACGTGCTCACGTATTCACCTTATCAACTCATGAAAAGGTGATAATGAAACAAAAGCGCAAGATCTCCATCTATCATTTGCCACCCTCCATACCTTCACGGCCCCATATCTTCAAAAGATATGAGCAATCAAGCTCTTGGCTCACAACTCGGGGCCGTGTTTGTCTACATGTGTTTCCAATGCTGCGCGTCAGAAAGCTTCGTTCTCGCGAGATTAAATCTTTACAGTTTAAACAGCAGTTCACGTTGGGCAACGTAATGGAGAATGCATTTCATGACGGTAATCAAGGACCTGGAATCCGATTGGGATGCTGAGCCTGGAATGCATTTCATGATTTAGGACACAATAATAGGTATCACCTTTGGCAAGGCATGGTAACTCACAATCCCTTCATGAGGCGTTCTCGAGCACTCCCCTCCCATATTCACGTAGAGTCATCGGTGTCGGTGGCCAGCTCGTCGGCATTGATTTGGAGTGCATCTGCCTGAGCCATACCACACAAAAAGGTTCAATACGAGTGGCGATCATGCGAGTGCTAATCACGGAAAGACTCACCTGCTCCTGTATAAAGGCGCGCCAGACACCTTTGCCATTCCCAGCTTCATATATTACATCTCTTATGCCCAAAAGGATGTTCCTGATCAAAGTCCTGGACTCGGGGGTTCCCCCCCGCAAATCATGTCTTTGGGGACGTCGCCGAATAAAACGATGGTCGAGGAAGTTGAAAATGAAATCCCAAACCCCCAATGTACTGGCCTCAATGAACCGAATGATTTCCACTGTCTGTCGATAGACGCTGTGGGGCATGGTCAACATTGCGCGCTGTTCCTCCACTGAGGTGGGGTAGGGACCACCGACGGCGTCGATGAACGATTCCACACTTAACCCTTCCTCTTCAATAGCCCCAGTAATCCTGCCGACCGCACCCTCCAAGTCGAGAAGAGGTTCTACGTACGGATTCATTAGGCGATGTATCAATAAGGGTTGAAGGCCGATTTTGATTGCGGTTGGATTGTAAAGGTTTGGAAATGCTTGATGTGAAAAGATGCGTGTTGATACACCGATAATGCAGATGTTCCCCAACCGCACAAGAGGCTTATCGAAGCCTCTCGCGAAGGCAAAAGCGGTCCGGTCTTGCGTGGTCTGAAACGCTAGTCTTGCAATCGCAAAAGATTGTTCATAAGCGCACCAACCGCTTTGGAATTGGGGCATGTCAGCTGTACCATTCAAAAGTGGCATTGTTTCGAGAGAAGCAATGGCATATCGCCTAGCCGGATCATGATGTATCAGCTTGATCAATCCAGATAATCGCCTGGCTGGATTGATCGAGCTAAGTATCGTCTCCCTGCTGAAACTTCCCCAGGGAACTCAACGAGGTGGACCGATATATTGATCTATCATTCTGGAAATGGTCATGTTGTTGAGTAGCCTTGACCTCCCAAGAGGTCTTGACATCTGGGCAAATGATCCTCTCGCACTAAGCATGACCAAGCAATCGCTCGCGGCCATTCAGTTCACCGTGTTGGGCCAAACAGAGTGACAGTGACTCGGTTTGTGGTTTGGGAGCACTTGCACGTGCTTTGCTTGTTTCACTCTCCCATATTGCAAGTCACAGCCATGTTGAGCCAGAATACCTGCTGTACTCCTAAACAAAGGTTGATATGTTCATCATCAATCCACATTTCTCGACGGTAGGTTTTTAAGACCACGCCAGTAGAGTGTGAGATAAAGCAATATCTGAAGGAACCGTTGCCTACAAGTGTCTTAGTCGACTACCATTTTCCATACCTACATTTTAACTATCCATGGCCTCTACCCACCGCATTGTGCCCAGCTCCGATGATACCAGCACCCTCGCTCGAACCCTCCTCGTGTGTGACTACCTCACAAAGCTCGACTTGACCCCAAAGCAATTCATGGTGACATTTCTGTCATCAAAGGATGATGCTTTGGTCGGGCGAAGACGTCTCATGAAGATTGGCCTCGCGTTCAAACAGACCCGCTCCATAGTTCGAAATATGGGCAAGCTGTCAAGATCTTGCGAACAAGGTCGCACGGATTGGGAGAAGTTGATTTTGGAGGAAGTTAGTACAGTGTCGTTATTTCACCAATTTCGATTACAACTGTTGTCTCACGAACCGCATGATGAAGGCGTCGGAAATCGTGAATGCGCAGGAAGTGCCTCGAGGTCACTTCCCTAGCGGTGCGTACATCAGTTCGAATAGAATCACACCGGACTATTTTGGCCAAAGTGCGGAAAGTATTCGTGAAACGCAGATCAAGACCGGAATGAATTTCCTTCATTCACTGATTCATGGGAAACTCGCGATCAGTTTGAATATAAATCAACCGGAGGCCGAAGACAATGACGATGGTGGAACTGGCCCCGAGATGCTTAGTCAACAATCCACTGAGTCGTATCTGCAGGACACGGAGGCTCCTGCAGATAGAGATACGAACTTGGATCGCTCGCTGGATGAAGAAACGGTACTCTCAATGGAGAATTTAGTTTATGTCAAGGCCACCCCCGCGGACCAGGCGGTTCTGAAACTGACCAAGGTATTTCCCAACCCATGCTTCCGGCGAGGCGTATCATTGTACTGATCCTATGTACCATAAATGCGTCCGACCTAGCTGCCTATTTTCATATGTGCGATGATAGCTGTCAGCTGCAATCGCAGAGCGAATGCTATACCCATGGCGAATAGTTTGATGACTTACGCGGGAGGTGTATCCTGTCGCGTCAACGAATGGTTACATTGTCACGGTATCACAACGTCTCGAAGGAGCTCACTATCAGCAATGGACCATCTGCGTCACTTACAAGAAGATAGAATGATGGACTTGTTCAAAGTCAACCACAAACTTTTACCTTTACTGGTTTATGACAACATCGACATCCAATTGAAGATTCATAACACTCGGGTCGAGACGTCATCGCGTCTGTTTCACGGCACATGGGGATTTTATATAGTAGTTCGTGCATGCCTACAGGCTAAATGCAGCAAGGATGCTGTCAGCCTCGCCGCCTTTTGCGATGCAATGTCAAGAGCGGACCGCAAAGCTGTTACGATGTCATCATTTTGTTCGACCCCTGCCGAAGCGGAGCATTGGAAATCAGTGGTGAAGTGTCAAATAGCCACAGCCCTCAAGGAATACGCCACTTACCTACCAGGGTCGCCTGACCCCAGACTCCTCCCGCAGCTGCAGACTAGACCTCCGCCAGTCGACCAAATCGAGATGCACCAACCTAATATCCATTTCCTACGTATGATGGATGCGCCGGATTCGTCCGCTGAAGGAGTATTGCGCGTTATCGACGCTGTCATTGCTCAGATTGGTCTGGACAAATCTGAATATGCCCAGAGTCTTTTGGTGGCTGGAGGCGATGTTGGCTCGAATCAATTGTTGGAGAGTCTTAGAGTGAAGAGATTCCCTCCGATTGATTCAGTTGAAGGTATGCAATGGGTCCTATCAATTTTCGGCGGGGCCCACACTATGTGGAACTTCACAAAAGCACTATTAACTCACCATTGGGGTAAGGCGGACAACGGTGATGACTCAGGTGCCTGGAGGTCTTTGTTTGCGTTGGGATGCGAATATAAGAAACCGCCTGCGTCACAAGACTTCAACACCTTGATGTGGTCTGCTCGAATGCTCCACAAAGCTAACCTGGTTCATTCGATAAGGTATGTTCAAACATGTTAATTATACTAACGGTGAGTTTTCATAAGAGTGCGGACTGACCACTGTTTGCCCGTGTCAGCCAAATCATGGGAAGCGATAAGGATCTTCATTTGACTCAGGCCGAGGACTGTGAGCATGTCATCGACAAGGTATGGGATACTTACTTTGACGCTGCCGCTTTAGAAGCGGCAAGGTTGCAGGCGGATACCACTCGTTATAATTTGATGTTGCGTCTCCGAGACTTTGCCACGGTAGTCGAGGCCCACAAAGCAACTTGGGCGGGTGATATCGGCCGCCTCATGCTGATGTGGAAGCAATGGGCTATAATGGCCCAAGGCATCCAGGGTCTATCACATTATTCGCGCCATATTCCGCGAATCGTGTTACTGTTAGAGGAAGACCTACCAAAGGACCTTGCCCGCGCAATCAAGCATTCCCTCCTTATACCATCCAACAAACGTCCGGACCACTGGCTTCCAATTGATGAGTTCCTAGAAATTAGTATATTCTACCTCAAGCGAGTATACAATAATACTGTGAGTCATATTACACGAGCAGTTAAACATGTTCACTTCGCTTAGGTTGAAGTCCTCGCTGACCATTGGGGCGTGGCCGTTCAGGGGCACGGCACGGACATTCAAAGACTCACTCAGCTACTCTCAAACCTCATTCCCATGGTACGTGGCTTGCATAGCTCGCAGGCATCTGATCGTGGAGTTATACCGTTTGTTGAACATGCATTGCATACACGGGCAGCTACGAAAACTCCTGCAGCTCTTCAAAATACACTCTGGACACACTTTGCTATTTCAACCCAACCTAAACTCGATTACTGGCCCCAGCCTGTTGGCTTTCCTTGCTTACGCCAAAGATCACTTAGGCGAGGTGCGTGCTAGACGTCCATCGCCGCAGGTCGCAAACATCTTGAAACTTGGTCACCGGAATATGATTAAACTTATTCGTGCTGACCAGATTGCTGGTCGCTCTTTGAGGTTTTGGTGGGGCGCAGCCGACGTGTTGTCGTCTTGGGACAGTCAGAGTGGGGAGTTTCCTGGCGAGGAGTGAAATAAATCAGAATATTGGTACATATGACGTGACTGGACAGTTGTCCACAAGAAATACCCGTGCTGACCTCGCCTGTTGTCCGTTTTCTTGTTGGGGGACGAGTATGGGAGTTCCACTGCCCCTCGCTTGGCCCTTTGGGACAACGGCCGGCGGGGGACTGTGACACCGCCTATTTTACCGGCTGGGGCGGTATTAGGCTGTTTCTTATGTGCAGCGGCCGCCTCTTTCTTCGCCGCTCTGACTTCAGCCCGTTCCTGTTTGGCCAGTTCGCGCTTTCGAGCTCGTTCATTTTGAGCCGTCTCCTTCAGGGCCAATCGGCGTAAGTCCGCGTCTAGCTTTGCTTGCGCCTTTTGTTCAGCCGCTGCTACCTTCTCGGCAGCTTTTGCCTGGGCTTCTCGTTGCTTTTCCACCAGCTTGGCCTCCTTGGTCGCGATTTTATTAGCTTCAGCACGTGTTTGTGCAATTCTTGCTCCTTCAACCGATTGAATGGGTTTGCTAGGAGGCCGAGCAGCCGCCTTTCGTCGCTCCGCTGCTTTGACAACCGTGGAAGCCGCGTTGGGATGTTCTTTCCACTGTAAGAATGCATTGAACAGGCAGGTGAATTGTCCAGGTATGGACTCGCTAGCAAGGACCACACCTAAGTCTTCGGGTTGCAAGAATAAATCGACATTTTTGGCTAGGTCCCATCCCAAATCCCGCCCGAAATGATTGTCCGGGCCTAGATGGCACGGATGAGTGAACTGAGAGTGCCAGAATTCGGTGAAGGCCTGATCCCACAGGCTAACTAGCCTAGAGAGGGTTGGGCACTCGACAATCGGATCGTCGGTTCCACAGAGCATGGGAATGTTTCGCATATCTTTCACAGGAGGTGCAGGAGGGTCGGGTAGGCTATTGATGAGTTCGAAGAGCTCGTCCTCCCCCATTTTGAGCGCGCTATCAAAATTATCGTTAGTTAGGCTCGCTTGAGCTAGCCAGAGGGCTTCAGCTTCCTCGGGTTGGCAGTTGGAACAGTCACAGATAGGCATGTGTGCTTCGCGCTGACGGTCCTCCTCCTCGTGTACGATGTCGCTATCCGGATCAAGGGGTATGTATCCGTTCCTGTGCCCGAACATCGTCAGTCAGCATTCACCAAGCTGAGTCAGGTGAAACCTTTTGACTCACTCTAGGTCAACTGCGAGAGCCACCCTCAGACAGACTGGAGTGATTGCTAACGCATCCATCCGGTCGTCATCTGACATTTCGGTTGGTGTGTCAAAGTCTTCAATCTTATTTTTCCCATTGGTTTGACAGTGCTCGACCAAGAGAAATCCAAGGCCACGTCGCTTGTCACGCCCGCATCTGCCAGACATCTGAATAAAACTGCAAGGGTCTTGGCGTCCAACAATGACGACGCGGCGGACCCTATGCCAGTTTTGGCCTAAACCCAAGGCAAGGGTGCAGCAAATCACCGCCAGGGATCCTGCCACGTACGCCGCTACCGCGGCCTGTTTAGCGTTTTCGCCGGTGGTAGCGTGATACTGGCGAGCAAAGGCTGACTGGCCATTTCCAGCTTTGGACGCGTGACCTCGTGCCATGTTGATCAACTCTAAGTACGCTAAGGTTGCGTTCTGAGTGTCCGAGTAAATCAGTGTCGGCGGTATCGACTCGTTTGGAACCACGGTGTGATGCGAGAAGAGGCCGCGTAAGGATGATTGAAGGGGGCGTTTGAAAGTCCTTCGTATCAGGCGTAATTCAGGGCGACTGAGCTCCGCACGCACAAATTGAACATCTCTAGAATCCAACTTAAGGTTGACCAAGATCGCTTGAACCGCTTGTGGTGTACAAGTAGCTGACATCAACAACAGCGGTACCCTGTCTGAACAAAGAAATCGACGGGCTAGCTGCCCATAGGAAGGTCGGAACGCCCCACCATCATGAACACGGGTCCAGCTGGCAAGTCTTTTGGCTTGCCCGCTCTCGACGAGGCCCCATGTATACACCATGTGTGCCTCGTCGACAACGTTAAGTACCAACCTTCACGTGGTGGGCGGGGCGCAATTGGCCTGCCCCAGGGGCAGGCCTCTAGGGCAGGCCTTTTGGAGCCGATTTTGGGGGTGGCGTGCCCAAGTTAGACTTAGGTCTATTCCACCAAGTTACCGTGTGAAAAAAATTCAAATCACACTTCAAAGTACTCACCTTACAAAATATCCTCAATCTCAAAGCCACCGTCAGCAATATAATACTTCCATATCATGCCAAAAGTCAAATCCTCCTTGTCAAAGTCCGCCTCAGCCAAGTGGAACCAACCTACCGCCGGATTTGGAAAGCGATGGACAGGATTCTTGATGTCTGCTGAACTGAACACATCATCAAACCGCCGCCGGGCTCAATGTCAGCACTGTAAGGCTACGTTGGATGGAAAGCCAAGTGGATTATACAATCATATCACCAAGAAATGTCCGTCAATCTCAATCTCAAAAAAGTCAGAATACAAACAGCTCATACTTGCTGAGCATAATGAGAAGACTGGGCGATCAAACTCTCAACCTGCAACAGAAACTGGCTCAAGTGATGATGGCGCTCCCTCACTGGTTCCAAAGTCAAAACTCATCCATGATTTCAGCTCACTGCATCACTTCAGAACGTACGACAAGGCCAAGTTAGCTGACCTTGACGAGGAGCTTTTGAAATCCCTCATCTCGGGGAAGGTAGCCTTTAGATTCCTTCACAACAATTTTTTCTTGAACTATCAAAAAATGCTAGCTGTATGTGTATTCAAGCCTCCTACTCGTTATCGGATGATTGAAAATGTACTTCCAATGTTACATGCTAAACACGAGATAGCAATCAAGGAGAAGTTAGCGAAACAGTCGAACTTGACTATCACTTTAGATGGCTGGACTGACGTATCAAAAAACAGCATATACGCAGTTTTAGTCTTACGAGGCACTGAAGTCAAGCAATTCATTGATGTTCTCGAATTGAATCAAAAGCGACATACCTCTGAAAACACCTTTTCCGCTTTAAATGACACTCTCAAGGCTCAGGGTCTTCGATGGGATCAGATCAGTGCTGTTGTCACTGATTCTCCAGCAGTTATGATAAAGTTTTGTGTAAGTCAACTTGTCAAGGCTTCTTTTTTCTTCTCACTGTCTTGTAATCTGATTCGAACATTTATCTCCTTTGTCAAATGATAGAAAATCATTACTGAGGAACATCCAGCGATCATCACCTTACCTTGCTGTCTTCATGTCATCAACTTAGTTACTGAAGACATTCTGTCGCATCCAAGCATGAGAGAGGTTGTCTCCAACAACAAAGAACTAGTCAATTTTTTTACCAAAGCTCATTATTGGATTCAATGGTTAGAGAGTTGGCGAGTTACTGAGAAAGTCGGACACGGAATCAAAACGTTCTCCGAGACTCGATGGTTCTCTTTTGCCAAGGTCTGTCTGTCTGTTCAATCACACGAACTCGGTTTTCGAAAATGTGTCGAGACTTCGATCGATCGATCAACCGATGCGCCTTCAATCAAGAAGAGTATCAGGGACATTGTTTTCAATCGTCTTCACTTTGCTTCGAAGTTCGAATGATGTCTTAGTCCGAGTACTCCAGCCAGTTGTTGATACGATTGCAAAATTAGAACGCACGAATACTACCGTTGGTGAAGTTTGGAGTGAGGTGATTGTGTTGTACATGAAGCTCAAAGATATGAAAGTTGAATCTCAATATTCAACTTTCAAGTCTCACAGTATTCAAATAATCAACAAGTGATGCAAAGTCTTTGACAAACCGGCCTACATCCTTGGATTTTTCCTGACACCTCAGTTTCGTCAAATCGCTGCGTCTCAAAAATACGATATCAATTACTTCACGCGAGCTATTGTCAAAATCGCAAAAGTTTGGAAGTTCAAACAGATTGAATGTAAAAACCTGATCACACAAGTCTTACAATACTACAACTCCGAGGGTCCATTTCGTATACCTCCAGATGGCAAGTTGTGATTTCTCATTATCATATCGGATGTGATAATGTAACTAATCTTGATTATTGTTTAGGTTCATCTGCCATGAATTACTGGTTGAAGGTACCAGCTAATCCACAGACTCAAGAGCTCAAGTCGTTCACCATCAAGCTCTTAGAAATTGTACCCCACGCTGCGGGTGTTGAAAGCCTCTTTTCGCGGATGGGTTCTCAAAAGACTAAGTCGCGCGCTCGAATGGATGTCTCAACATTAAAGATGATGTCTCAAATCGAGATGGATCTCGAATCCGAGCAATCGAATCGTGTGGCCAAATCGATCAAAAATAACGATCAAACTGCTGCTGCTGATGATTCACAAGATCTAGATCCTCAATTTGAAGATCTTGATCAAGTTCAAGAGTTTGAAAATGGAATTCATGGTGAAGATGAGGTGGATCAGGGAGAAGAACGAGAGGATATTACTGAGAGTGGTTTTATAGACACTCTCTTTGATTTAACATTATTCAATATTAGAGTTGAAGCAGAACAAGCTGTTACTATTGTTTTAGATGAGGGATCTGACAATGAAGACTGGGATGAGGAGAATCTTTTCGATGGTTTACTTCAATGAATGTTCATGAGGTGTACAGCAGAACTGTTATGAAATACAAAAAAGTCCTTTCTGATGTTGTTGAGCGGGTTTTTTTGCCTTTTTTTGATTTTTGGGGGGATTTTGACACCTCAGAGGCACGCCTCTGCGCCCCCACTATAGGCGTGCCTTTGGAACAGTCAAAATCCGCGCCTGGGCCTGCCCAAAATTCAAAACCCGCGCCCACCACGTGAACCAACCTCGACTGAAACCGAGGATCCATCCACATTTGGTCAAAAACTTCGCTAGTTAATGCGACTTCTGGGCTCTAGCCATACCAAAAATCCAAAAGTCTCAGTTTCAAACTGTCCGTTTGGCCAATGGGAGCCACATATAAACGATTGTAATTACCACGTAAACAAAGTTATATTTCCCTTGAATAATCGCATTACACATATCCGGTGTACAATTTGGCCCGGTCAAGTTCACGCCGTTCAAATTAACTCTGTCTTTTTCGCTGACCTGGAACCATGGTGGGATCAAAGGTCAGTCAGGTGTGGCAAGTTGGACTACTTGACCGCTGCGAACATACCTGGTCATCGCCTGGAGCGTCCAACGGGTTGATGCTCAGCAAAATAGGAGCATAGCTATCGTCGAAGGCCAGGTAGACCAATTTGGGCACTCGGCTCTTGCCAAAACCTGTCCCCGCTAATAAAAAGTTGGTACGAACATTGATGAGGTGTACCACAGCTTGGACTTGCTGAGCTCGTGCCGGGAATCCGTATTTGGCCTGAAACAAGTCGCCGATGATCTTGGCTTGTTCGTCCTCGCTGATTCCAAGTAGCTCGACACGCAGTTTGGCCGGTGCACTTAGGGATTTGGCTACTCCGAGTGCTAGTTTCTGCGCATTGGCGGCGGATACACTCCTTCGTAGCATTCCGACGGGTTTGGGTTGAGATAGATGTGCAAGTGAACTGGTTGTATGCGGTGAGTTGTGGTGTGACGAGGGTGCCTGATTTGTGAACTTGGCGAAAAATCAGAGCCGGCAGGCAAACTTCAGTTTGTCTAGCAGGTTTTGTCCGTTATGTCCACCCTGCCAGGGTTTTTGCCGCCGCAGTCATGAATTGGTCATGTACGGCCCCGAGTTGTGAGCCAAGAGCTTGATTGCTCATATCTTTTGAAGATATGGGGCCGTGAAGGTATGGAGGGTGGCAAATGATAGATGGAGATCTTGCGCTTTTGTTTCATTATCACCTTTTCATGAGTTGATAAGGTGAATACGTGAGCACGTGAGATGACAGGTTTTTGGCGAAAGCCCTGTCTAGTCTCACGCCAGAAATTTGGGATAGCGCATAAGTCCCTCGCTGGCGCTCGGAGGTACGTGGTACTTGTACCGACGGGGCCGAAGCGAGTGGGACTTATATAAGTTTGGGCCCGCCCAGTTTTCGTAAAATAATATTTTGCCCAATACAGGCCAAAATACAAGCATAGCCTTCAATTGAGATAGCGATATCTCGATTGAATTTGGCCAGTTGACTGCTGTTGACCACTCGACTCCATACCCTCCATACCCTCGATCCCACCACAACTATTCCAACAAACTATTCCAAATCCACGATGGTCAAAAAACCAACCAAAAAGCAACTTCTCTTAGAAGCTGAACAGAGAAGACGTGAAGAACTGTAAGTATTCAAAACCCAATTCTTATCAACAATGATTCACTGACCCATGGTTTTTTTAGTGCGATTCGGCAAGCAAGACAAGCTGGACCTGAAGGCCTTAGCCCTGAACGTGGTAGGGAAGGTACCCCTTATCAAATGTACAAGTAAGCTTCTTTCTTCGATTCTATGTCACTTGATCAAAGTTGTTCAGCTGCTTACCTTTGTGTTTAATTTCTCTCCGCAGACGTGGCCATCATTTTGAAGACGTTACCGGCGGCCCACGTCAATATCAAGATAACGAATTGATCCATTTGGATCCGAAACGCAAACCAGGCTTCCAGGAATTTGAGTGTTGACTTCGTGGACCGCCTCCAGGTGAGTTTTTCCACCCATCTCAGAATTTCTCATTTCCAAACACTCATCTCGCTCTTTTGTATTCTCTTTCTTTCTCTGTCCGTTTCTCCAATCATTCAGTTCCAGCCCCACCGATGTCTTTCAACGCCTTTATCAATGAGGCTCACGTCAACCCAATGCTTGGGAATCACAATATTCAAGGTCAACCTCGAGCTGTGAGCGGTAAGTACTTTCATCCCTCCGTTGAAAACAGTTTTCATCAATTGAACTGATGTGATTCTGATTCAGAAACACATGTTGACATCAACTTAACTGTTACACCACCGCCACGATACCCTGAAGTGGCCATTCAACCTAGCTTGGAAGCTGACGAGGCCAAACCAAGCCTTGTCAAGCTATGGTTCCACGTCTATACTCCGATCCCGAAGACCAAGGCTGAAAAACAAGCCGGAACCGCCCAGAAGTACATCGATCTCACAAGTGAGCCGGCTTTCAACTCTGTCATTCAAATCCACGGGGCTACACTCGTCGATGTCAAAGAGGCCGTCTTTGATGCTTGTGCTGAAGTCAAAGCGGTATGTGGATCGCTTCTCAGAGAGGCTGATCTAGATGGTAAGTTGGCATTCAAAGGCTACGTGGCTGGCCGTGGACCGTTTCTCAAGTCGGCCTTGAAAATGATTGCATCGGAGGTGGTCCTTGACCAGTTCAAGGAAACCATGAAGGCCAACAAGGGTAAAGAAGTTGATTTCAAACTTTTCATTGATAATCCAAAGACTGCCAATCGTCTAAAATCAAAGGTAAGTTAGTTTTTTACTTTTCAATTCCTTTTCTGAAATCTCATTTGCTGATGATGTTCTTTTTCCAAAAATACTGAACAGGAGGACACTTTTGATCGAGCCACTCTTGACAGTCATCCAAATTCATTGGCTCCTCATCGAATCGATGAATTAGAAATGCACATAAGTACTGACTTCATCTTGGCCTCATCATAAACCTCTACTGATCCCTGTTTGATTACAGGATATTGATGTTAATCCAGAATGGCAGCGTATCCGAGTCAAGCTCATGCAGGACTATGGATGTGTCTCAATTGGCGGTTGGGAGTGTATGGGGCTTATCAACCCAGAAAATACCAACGAGGCAGTCCACTTGAGCCATTTGATGATGGATACTTGGGCAACTGCATTGGTAAGTACTTTCTTTTTCATCATCTTGATCATCTTTCATTGACCAATTTCCTTCTTTGAACCAGTTCAAACGCAAACCTGGAGCAACCGAGATGGTGCCTCCCAAGCTACCTGAATTCCGATTTTGCCGCATTTCCAACCAACCTGGTCATCCTCATGGACAACCTGCTGCCCCTGCCGATAACGTTCAAACTACTTCACAAATTCCCAACAATCGTACCGAGTCACCTATTCCAGGTCCTCCTCCACCTCTCAAAGACTTCCTTACTTGGGCCAAGATTTCACCAGACGATGAAAACACCCGTGCCCTTCTCAAGAAGCTCGACATCATTGATTACAAAGCATTCCTTTCGCCCTCTTTAAATGTTACAACCCTTGCTGCGTTGGGATTCGCGTATGGAACCGCAGTACGTTTACATGATCAAGCCCCACTTTATCAAGCTGAACTCAAGAGACGCAAGAATCCCGGCTTTTGGGATTGATCCAGTCTAACAAGATCAAAATCCATAAAAAATGTTATTGTAGCAAGCACTTGTGTAGCTTAGCAAATATTGTATCCATTCTTAATCCTTGTAAAAGATCGACTGTTTGACTGCTACTGCTGAAATGAAAATTTATGTATGAACCTGTGAAAACCTGGTCTATAAGACCATTAGCCTTTTGCCATAGTAAGATTTTTAAAAAAATACTCGAGTAAAATTGAAGACTTATTGAGGTAACTCTTTCATATTGGTTCATCCCAATTGTATTCAACTTGTATCTCAACACACTTTTGGTTATCATGATTATTGACTTCATCATCTCACAATTGATGAATTGCACAAACTTATTATGGAAGTTTTTGAGATAAGCTCTTAAAGCAATGGGTTATGGCTCATTTTTAATCAAGGTAATCAAAAAAACAACAATGGGTATGAGAACCCTTTTTATTACTCAGGCGCATACAGAGAAATTTCTTTTGGTGAGATGATACAACATGACTTTTCTTTAGGTTTGAGATGAGAAACCATAATCAAAAACTTCTTCGTAGAGTGAAACTTTTTGAGCTCGTCCAGATCATATCAATAATACCCACATGTCTCATAAAGTTTCTCAATCACACTACACAAAATGTAATCTTTACCGGGCGGTAAAGAAAACTACTGACATAGAAAACTCCTGAGGCAACAGGAAGAGAGCTAAAAATCTGGAAAAATATGCACCTTGTTCCTAGATGTTGGGGTGTGATGATGAGTATTTTTTTGTATTTTACACACAGATATTGGTTAGTGTACTAACAATAAAGGCTGAAAATCATCAAAAACCCACCTGTAACAATACCTGAAATTTGGGTCATGATCATGAAGACAATATTTTGTGGTCTAAAAACTACAACAACTTCTGCAATTCTGCTCCAAACAACTCAATTTTTGGCTCAGTCAAAAGCTGAACCATTCTCCTTTACACTTAATAAAGGCAGTAAGGTGTTATTTAGTCATGTAAACGCTCTACATATGCTCAAACAGTTCTGCATGAATTGCTCTGTAGGATCTTTTGTAGACCGGCTACAGATGTGATGTCTCAATGATAAATGTAAAGGAAAGACTCACCTTTTTGATAAACTTAAAATCGAGTGATTTGATTTAGAACTGCAAAAGGTATTGATGTTTGAAGATTTCAAAATCCTCTCTTCAAGATCATGGGCCAAATTTCAGGTATTGTTACAGGTGGGATTTTGATGATTCTCAGCCTTTATTGTTAGTAGACTAACCAATATCTGTGTGTAAAATACAAAAAAATACTCATCATCACACCCCAACATCTAGGAACAAGGTGCATATTTTTTCAGATTTTTAGCTCTCTTCCTGTTGCCTCAGGATTTTTCTATGTCAGTAGTTTTCTTTACCGCCCGGTAAAGATTACATTTTGTGTAGTGTCAGGGTACTCGTGGATACTTCACTCATGATCACCATCAAACATCGTAGTTTATTGATTGCATCCTCTAAAGTCCGATTTCTTCTGAGTCAATCTTTGAAGACCTTGAAAATTCGCTTGATCGGGTTAAAATCCGGTGAGTACGGTGGTAGATAACGGACAAGGATGCCCAAAGATGCGCACAGGCGTTTGATTGCTCCACCATGATGGATGGTGCAGTTGTCCAGCACTAATACCGAATTTCGAGCTGGGTATCGGTTCATGACAGGCAGCTGGAATATATGGATGCATAACCATCAGTTTCATCGAATGTACACAAAGAGAGAAGAAAGGAATGAGAGGAACTTACCAAGATGTGCTTGAGGAACGCTTCAAAATCCTTTCAAAGGTATGCGTTGACCTTTGAGTGTACTGCGAGTAACCCCATTTCGCATATGGCTGCAAGCATGCTGTAATGGGGTCCACATCTTCTTTGCTTCAACTTTGCAGGTCGTTCACCTTTCTTTGATCTGACTTTGTTTCACATGACTTCTTGTTATGTTAGACCGGTCTCGTCTGAAAGAGAAAAGCAAGTCAGTTACTGAATCCTCAATTGAAGATAAGTAAAGAGATTGAACTTACCAAAAAAAACAAGGCATTTGGGATCAACATTAGCAATCCGGATGGAATAAGCTGCCCGTCGTTCCGCTGATTGGTTGGGATCGACCTTTGAAACTGTGTGAACCGTTAAGAAGAGCCTCTCCTTCAAATCGTTTGCGATAGTCTGGCGACATGCGAGTAGATCAGTGTGATCATACATCGCCTCTTGAACTTCATCCAGGAAAAGGGTCGGATCGTCTTCGATAAGCTCGATCATGAACTTGCGGTCCTCCTTAGAGTACAAAGTCGGGCGGCCTCGTTTCTTGTAGGTCATGGTGTTTCTGATGACACAGTGAGTGAGTTCGTAAATATTCCTCCATTGTCTGAAGGACTTTGCAGATATATCGCACTGCAAACATTATTCGGCTTCCCCAAGTGGGCAGGAAAAAATGATTGGGAGTATGATTTGTCATAAAATGATCTATCACTCCACACCTAAGCCAGAACACACACACTACATATGTGCAACAGGCTCAGTGAATAGGTGGTTATCATGTACATACAGTTCTGCTCAGTTATCTGCTCATCAGCGTAAGTTATTCATATGTAATACATGCTGTAACTTTTTTCAGATTGACAAAAGTATTCAAAAGATTGACTACATACACCCACCCAGTGTTTTGGTGTGATCTCATCAACTCAACTGCATGTAACACCCTTTCTGTTACTATGAAACAGCTTCAGTAATATTGCCTGAGCAGCTACAGAATTCTATGTAGTGAATTTTTGCAACAATTTTTTCAAGGTCAAAAAAGTTTCATGTGGTATAACATGTGATTTATTCATTCTGATGGGCAAAAAACTGAGCAGACCTGTATGTACATGATAGATAACTATCTATTTAGCTTGCTGCACATATGTAGTGTGGGTGTTATGTCTCAGGTGTGCAGTATTGGATCCTTTTATGACAAACTGTACTATTAATCATTTTCCTCTTCCAACTTGGGGAAGTTGAATGATGTTCACAGTGATCGGTGAGAATCTTGTTGTTGATCGCTGAAATGGGTTGTCCTAGAAGCCATTTGTTAAGGGCAATCACTTTGAGTTGAGGGCTATACTTGATGAACGGCATTCTGTATGTTAAGTTTGATTCTGTAGTGAATTCGAATCTGACAAAACTGGAAGAACAAAGGCGATGATGTTTGTAGGCGATGAGGATGGTTGAGCTACACTCAAGAGCGGTCAACTGGCCAAATTCAATCGAGATATTGCTATCTCGATTGAAGGCTCAATACAAGCATATTTTGGCCAATACAGGCCAAAATATTATTTTACAAAAACTGGGCGGGCCAAGCTTTTTTGGATTGACTGTAAAATGTATGAGCTGGTAATTTGTTCATGCATCATTCATTCAACTGTGAAGAAATCAAACTTGTTTCCAAACACAAATAGAAAAAGAAATGTGGTTCCAAACCTGTTGGAGTTGAACCAGGTAGTTTTTATGAATACAACTGCACCTATTGGTGACCCAGTTCTGATTTCATCTTGTGGCCTAAGCTACATACACATAAATATTCTAACAGAGTGTAGCTGACAGTTAAGTCACAATCCTAGTAAACCTGCAAGTTGAATTGTCCTACACAAAGTGGTTCTGGAACTTTTCCACAAAGGTTCCAGAACACTTTTCCACAAAGCCAGAAAAGAAATTTTTGGCTGTGTTCTGGCTTTGTGGACTTGTGGAAAAAAAACTACAGTCGATTGCAGAAAGCTTGCCAGATTGGTCAAGCCTCTGCCTCACACCTGATCCGTGCGCTCGGCTATAAAAAGTTTGGATTTGACTTTTTTTTTCTTTTTTTCTGAACTTTCTTCCATCACAAATCTCTCCGTGATGGAAATATCATCCAACAGCTCAACTACAGTGTGACCAAGTGGACCCTCACCCTCCTCAATCCCTCTCCCACCTCCCTCCCTCTTTCATCAGTCGATTTTGGATTTTTTTCATTTCCCAATTCGCCAATTCCTTGTTATTTTTCTGGATGCCTCAAACTGATCATTTCATCAATCACACGTAAGTCATCTTATCGTCCTTCTATCGCATCTATTTAATGTTGATTTTGAGGCTTTTTTCTTGTTCTTTTTTTGACTTGATCTTGTTTTTCTTCTTTTTTTTGACCATATAGATCAAAGACACAGTGCCCGTGAAGGACGCCCCCGACGTCGGAGGCCTTCAAGAGTTCAAAGGCAAGCCTTTGTACTTGCTGGAGCCCCAGACGTCGGGGGCCCTCACCACGGGCACTGTGAGACTACCTCCACTCCTTGTGCAAACGGACACTGTCACAGCAATGATGATACTCACTTTTGAAATGATTATGAGTGATTTAGGGAGGTCTCATACTTGAGCTATCTCTTGCACCAGACCAGTGCTTCCTTTTTTTCAAGTGTCCTTGTGATATGTTTTGCTTTATGATATCATAACTCATAGTTTCTGTCTATGACTTATAAAGTTGTAGTGATTGAGGCTTATGCTAGTATCTGTTCTTGCATTTTCTATTTGTGGTTGTGACGTCTCTTACCCTTTGTTTTTGTCTTGATTCATGCAAGGTCAATGTGTTTTGAAATTATGAGCCTACAAACTGAGAAAGCCTCATCAATATCCCTCATGATCCAACATAAGTTGACCCCAAACGACTAATAGTTAATCGAGCAGAATGTGATTCACATTACTGTTTTTTTCATTATCTTTTTCAAATCGACCAAAAATATTCAACTAAACTTACAATCTCATTACTTTTTCAATCAAATCTCAATAAAACAAAGAAGTCAATACTTATGTTGTTCACCCAAAAATCTGGACTGAAATCTCAAAAATTGCTCTCAGATATAAACAATTCTTTATTAAACAAAAATTCTATTAACAAAAATCCAACGGGAATCTGAAAAGTTATTCAAAGAAATCTCAATAATGGTTATATTTGAATCTGAATTAAAAAGAATGATGACTTGATGTGTATGGAAAATCAACCGAATTTGGCCATTTCTCCCTTTCTGCATTAATTTATTAGAGTCAGGCAACACAACATTTAAAAGGCATTTACAGCCATTCCTAGAATCATTGGTAAATTTCGACGTTCTGTGTGTTGCACGGATTTAACTCAGGTTTAATCTGAGGTCCAAAAGTCAGTTTTGCACCTCAAGACTAGCCTAAATCTTATTTTGGCTCCGTCTAACTTTAAAATTTTAGAGCATCATTGCTGTCATTTTTGAACAACGCACTCTCTGGGGGTGCCTGGTCTGCCCCCCCAGAAAGAAGCTGCCTTCGTCCTTCCACCTGTTCTCTGGCGTCCACCAGCTTCAACCGGCTCAATATTCTTTTCATCAAATGAGGTACGTAAAATTCAACCTGGTCTGCCAAAGATTTCTACCACGATACTCAATCCATGATGTTTTGATTCATCATTTCGATCTCTATCGTTATAGGCGCACTCAACGGATCCTGATCTCACTTTCGGCCATCGAAGCTCACCACGTTAATTTGAATACGACTTTGATTCCCCCTTTTTGTAATGTATGGTAGCGTCACTATGAAGAAGGAACAACCGAAGACGATTGTGTCAATGCAGAAAGAAGGGTATGTGGTGATTTAATTCAAAGTTTGCGATCATAGCCAGACCATCCAACAACAAACACTTGATTTCTACCGAAGAAACAGGGTGTGTCTACCAAAGAACTCTAGCAAACGAAGTAAGATTTTGTATCCCATTCTACTTTGCCGAAGTTTCAATCATGTAATTGACTTTGTTTTTCCTCCTCATAATGTTCAAAATGAAATGGAAATCAAGGCAATGACATCATATGGAATGGGGATATGAGGTCACTCTTTTTGGGGGTTCCAACAACACCGACTTTCTACATCTTGATATGGCCAAAAGGTATAAATACCGGTCCTTTTGCGGAGATTATCCTTTCCCCTCATCAATCTAAGCCCGTAAGAGATATCATATTTTTGTTAAATTTTGTTTGTGCTTGTTTCTGCTCAATCATATCCTGATATCTTTTATCTTTAAATTCCGTCAATCCCCAGATACACTGCCAGCATTAAATAGGTTCCCTGGTCGGAACATGACCTAGGCTGGGAATATCATTGAGAGAAGAATGGAGCATCAAATCATCTTGCACTGCACATCTGAGCCATAAAGCATACACTACATATGTGCAAACATCTGAATAAATCCTTAGCTATCAGCTACATACAGGTCCGCTCAGTTATCTGCTCATCTAGATAAGAAAATCATGTGTAATACATGCTGTAACTTTGTTCAGATTGAGACACACATTTCAAAATATTGACTACATATATCACAATGGCTACTCAGGAAATATTGATGGAACTGTGTAACAGTAGCAGAATGGGAATCTGATCACTAGGACCCATATTCCCATCTGGGAACCTCTTTAATGCTGGCAGTGATATCGAACTTCTGTCTCTCAACTCCAACTTATTATCCCAGTTTAACACCAGTATCTTCTATTTGGTCCGTTCTATTTCCCTCACGCTCCTTTTTTTCTTCTTGCTCATTATTTTTCACATATAATATCTTGATCAGCTTGGCAAAAACAATCAACATGTCTCACCAACCTTCACCAAACCCAAATGCCTCCGAAGTGCCCGCTGTCGAAGGACACATGAATGCGCGTCAGTATATCTTTCTACATGGGTACAGTGTTCTATTTCATAATCTGATTAACTTTCTTTTTAAGTTTTTGAAGTTAGTTCTAACAAAACGGGCAACGACGCTCCTGCTACCTGTGGTCTTCAAAATCCACTGTACCGGATCGGCACGGCACCTCGGGTTCAATTCGATAAAAGAAACGAGATGACCGTGCAGGTCAAATTTAAATTACATAGTGATAAGGAAGTCGAAGTCGACAACCAGCCCGCATGTATCAAGGTAGCTAGCAGGGGCCGCAAAGCTGCTGCGAGCTCTGCGGCGTCCTACAACTTAATTGATTCCAAGTTGTTCAATGATGGGAACATCATTGAACTCGTGCAGTGTCTATTTGGAAAGTCTTTAAATGACTTCAAAGGTATGTGTGCTGACATATGCGAGGAGTATCAAAAAGGCATGCGACACATGGTTCTCCAAAGCAATATTGCGCCTTGACTCAGATGGATGGGCCAGGTTGGCCGTGCCAAAGTCTTTCTTGTCGATTCTCAAACGTGGCAAACCTTTGTGGATTTACTTTTGAAGGCAACCAAGCACAAGGGTTGCGTGACAATCTTCAGTGAAAGTCAAAAGGAAAAAGCCAGAAAGGTGGCTCAGGTACGTAGTCTCTTTTTTTTCCGGTGTTCATTTTTTTTTCTGACTTTAATGACGCTCCTTAGGCTTGCGCTGCGAAAGAACTGATCACATCAGCCAGAGGCCCATCTGCATCCGAATCGGAGGTTCGGGTTCTTACCAAGGAATTAGAGGTTTGTATTGTGTTTTTGTTTGTCCCTTTATTTGCTTTTTGATATCCTCCTCGTTTTTTTTTGATATCCTCCTCTTTTTTTTTCGATATCCTCCTAACTCCGCCAATTTGACAGGACGCCCGTAAGCGGATCGCGCTCCACGAACTGACTGCGCAGCTCTTCCATGATCATGCTCAAAAGGGGAACTCCGGAGACGGGGTTGTCTTGGTTTGCCCATGGGATCCTAAGATCCTTTACCGGTTAACATGGAGCGGGGCTTGGGTTTGGGCCAAAGTGGTGGTGAGCTTTCTGATTCTCGTCCTCATAAGTTTCAACTACTTCTCATCCTCACCATTTCGATCTACTCTTTCCCTTTTCTCATCTCCTTTTCCCTTTCCATCTCAGCAAGCGGGAATGGCGACTCGTGAAATCCCTCCTCGCACTTATGAGTACCTCGCGATTATGAAGAAGTCCCGTGTCTACCACAAGGCTATGAAAGTAGACGATCGAGTGAAGATGCGAAGCGGCGATTTGCACTTGGACCTTTCTCCTACCTTTAACAAGGCTGGCGGTTCTCATCAGTCTTTTTTCGAACCACCAGCAAAATTATTATTTCAAAAACCAATGGCTGGTGGCTCCAAGAGATCTGCGATCTTCAGTACCTCCGATGATGGTGAGAGAAATGATAAGAAAAAAATCAAGGTTGAACCTGGTACGCTCACCATCTCTCAATATCTTGAATACTCTTTTGCTCAGATTTTGATTATCGAACTTTTTTGTAGGCTTTGAAGATGAAAAAAGAGGAATCAAGCCAAGTAAGACTCCATTTCACACTTTGCCTTATCCACCCTTTTCCTTATTTGACCACCGATATTTTGTTACCCTTTTCCTTATTTGACCACCGATATTTTGTTACCCTTTTCCTTATTTGACCACCGATCATTTGTTTCATTCTAATCTCTCACTTGGGTAGCCAAAAGGATCACCATCGTGTTGTCCTCCGATCCACCCTCTCCTTCACCTATCATCAAACGAGAGCCAGGTATGTCACATGTTCTCGTCATCATCTATTGAACCTATTCTGAGATCAACATGTCATCTTCCTTTCCTCCTCATTGTTTAATTCACCGTCATTTGGTAGGCTCGCCCTCCGGATATGGAAATGGCATGGCCATTATGCTGTCATCGGACTCACCTAAACCCAAAATCTTCTCGTCTCAAGTTACGGTTAAGAACAACATTCAAAATGAGCCAGGTACATATTTTTATTGTGGTTTGTGTCACTGACGAATCACTTACACGTTCTTTGATGTCATTCTTTGATTATCAGCTGGTACGATGGACCTTGCCCCAGTCAACTCAGACAAAGATGTCCGTGCTCATGCAGAAGCTCTAGAACAATTTTTGCTCCACTGCAATGTTCCAAAAGACGACCACACCACCAGAACTATCCTCAACTGTGCCGGCGTCAAATCTTGGACCGACCTCATTCCCAGTGTCCAATTCACCGAGAGTTCTCTCACTGCGCGAGGCATGCACCCTAGTATGGCCTCGATGTTTGAAGCGATGGATCGTGCCAATGATCTCAAGATCGACATTGACGAGCTCAAAGATGATGACAAAGTTCTTCACGATCTAGTTCAGGCCTCCAGCCCTGCCTCATCTGTCCAACAAGTGGCTCCTTCCCCAGAGTATTGACTTCCGGACATGAATCCGACGTTATTTTCCACCTATCAGAATTGTTACTATCCCCATCGCGCAAAGATTGCTCTTGCCTTGCAGATCTATCAAAAGATCCCTCCTTATTTCCCAAAATCATTTTTTTGACTCGGCACTCAAATGTTTCCCACTTGTTTGTGACTCGTGCTTCTCGTGATTCCAATATTTCCTCCTGTTTTTTTGTATGGCGACGCAAATACCGCCTTGGATTGTTCCGTCTCGTGACCTTGCTTGTGACTCGTGCTTCTTGTGAATGAAAGGTTTCCACCTTATATGTGACTCGTGCTTCAACTGTTTTCAATTTTTTCCTCCTTATTTGTTTGGTGACGCAATTTCAGCCTCTGATTCTTCTGTCTCGTGATGACATTTGAGCCACCTCCTGAAACCTGAGAAGTAAGACCCAGTGATCATCCAACTGGTCCAAATCCAAAGTTTGTTTAACTTTTAAGTACTCATCACGACTCTTGATGAGTAGTTTTTAATGTTTTGATTAGATCAAAAGTTTAATCTTTAATGAAATATAATTAATATATCATTAATGTTTTTTTCAATTGAATTGATCTCAAGGGGTTCATCACTAAGAAATTTGGTCTCTATCAAATTTCGTTATAGAGAAATTTTTAGGCCTAACCATTTTTGAAAGGTTAGCTATATGTGCCTTTTCTTTCATGACTCGCTTTTATGTTTTTGCTCACTCAAACATAAATAAAAAATAATAACCACACTGATAATATTCATTTCAAAGACAATCCCCTAAAAAAAAAAGATTTTAATTTGTAATAACCGAAAAACTGTAACAAATATCCTCTGAGATGTAACTAAAGGGTGAAATTTTTTTGTATTTGCATCTACACATTGGATTTTATCGCTTGATTTATTATCTTCTTTGTAAGTAAAGAAATATACGGCAATTGTAATAATTCAGACTCTTCCAAAACAAACTTCAAATAACTTGCAAATTGAGATTATAAATAACCACTCCCTCTATAAAAACCTTGACAGACCTCTTCCGTAAACAACTCCATACAAGCCACAAAAATACTTGCTCTTTCATCATCCGCATCCAAAGCGTGCTGCAAGGCTTGAGATTGCCTGAGTCTGGACTTTAATACAGAGAAGCCCTTTTCGATAGGGTTGAAGTCTGGACTGTAGGCCGGTAGATAGACTAACCTAACCCCTCGCGCAGCGCATAGCTCCTCAACTCGGCCCCCGTGGTGGATAGGAGCGTTATCCATCACGAGGACGCTGTTTCGAGCTGGAAAAGGGTTCATGGCTGGAAGCTGAACCAGACCAGACCAGACAAAGAAGTAATTAGATTTTCAGATACCAATCTCAAGGAGTAGAAAAACAAAAATTTGATGTACCAGGCCGTGTTCCAAGTACGACTCAAAATCCAGCTGGGAATAGCCACCCGGCTGAACGGACACGGCCACGATCCCATCCATGGATATCGCAGGCAACACTGACCATCGGAAGGCCTGAGTGGCGCGCTGGAGGCGAGGAGTACGTTGCCCAATAGGTGCCCGCGCATGGGTCCGAAACAATCGACGTTCTGAGATTGCACTTTCATCTGAAATGCAGCATGTTAGTCTTTGTGTAACTTTTGAGCAGACACAAGACCAGCGAAAACCACACATACCAACAAATACAAGACATCGTGGATCAATTTCCGAGATCTCCGCTATATAAGCACCCCGCGCAATAGCTGACTGGTTTGGATGCACTGTTTGGGGTTTTTTTCGAGTCCAACCAAGGCGAGTTCGAAGTTTGCTTGACAGAGTATTCACCGAGACAGTTCTTCCAAAGGCATCTTGAATCTTTGCTTGGAGTTCATCAAGATAAAGAGTTGGATCTACCTCGAGCGCTTGCAATATGAATTCTTTCTCGGGTTCTCCTAGAGCTGTTGGCGCGCCAGCTTGCATGTGATCCAAAGGATTGGTGACCACAGCTCGAGTGGCGCGGTAAAGATTGAACCAACGGCAAACGGTGGTGAGAGAGAGATCGACTCCGGTTGACCGTACAATCTCAGGAAAGGTCATTCCTCGTAAAACCATGCGGACCACGACCAACTTGATATCGGAGCTGTAAAGATTTTTGGGCATGATGATTATGGGAATGGAGAGCTTGTTGGCCTTCGGTGAACGAAATAATGCGAAATAATGGAGGAAAAAATGATTTGAGAAATCACGAATCTTTTCTTCGTGGTAATGAGAGAAAATGAAAAGAGGAAAACGGGGGTGGAAGAGGTGAGGAAGTAAGCAAGAGGGCGAGAGAGAGAGAGAGAGAGAGAGGAGGGTGACAATACCACCCTTTTTTCCAGGCTGTATCAGGCTAAGCGTGAGAGCCAAGAAATAGGTCGACTCGGGGAAATGTCAAACGTCAGAACTGTATCCCACGGTACATTTGGTCAAAATCCTTTTTTTTTAGTTTTTGCCGGTTTTGGATTAAATCCCGACACAACACAAGAAATTAAAAAGCCACCGATGATTCTAGGAATGGCTGTAAGAGTATCAAAGGAACTCAATTACAAAGATACATTGGTTATAGAAGAAATGGTAATATCAATCCAATCAACAGAAATCATTTTCTATAACTGGATAATAAAAAATTCAATTGAATCAGATGAATCTCAATCAAATGCCCATCTCTTCTTAAGGATTGTGGCATTGGCATTGGTATAGTAAATCTGGTCATGTGACGGTCTCAGTTTGAATTGGGGTAGTCTTTGATCTATACGGTCAAAAAAAAGAAGAAAAATCAAGATCAAGTCAAAAAAAGAAAAAGAAAAAGATTCAAAATCAATATTAAATAGATGCAATAGAAGTCTGATAAGATGACTTACGTGCAATTGATGAAATGATCAGTTTGAGGCATCCAGAAAAATAAAGAGGAATTGGCTAATTGGGAAATGAAAAAAATCCAACATCGACTGATGAAAGAGGGAGGGAGGTGGGAGACGGATTGAGGGGGGTGAGGGTCCACTTGGTCACACTGTAGTTGAGCTGTTGGATGATATTTCCATCACGGAGAGATTTGTGTTATGGTTGGTTGAGTGATTTTCTATAAACTCATCAGAGTCCCACGCTGTCGCTCGCTGTACTGTCGTTCATTCCCTCTCACACCAAAACTTACTAGATATCCTCCAGACCTTACATCTTGGACTATCCCATCAGACCTGCCTCAAGAATCAAAGAATTTGCTATGCTGTTCTTAAAAGTTGTCATTGCTGCTGTTCTAGCTGGTCAGTGAATCCACACTAATTCATATCTCTATTCATACTCAATCTTACTCAATCCTCTATTTATTCTTATAGCCACAATCTCCGCCACCCTTGTTCAAGTTGACCAACCGTGAGCAAAGCCTTAATGACTTTCTTTGTGTTGCTGCAAGTGCTCTCAGAAACTTTACCTAACACATGATTTGCTTGATCTCAGTGTCACTCGTGACGTCCTACAACGACGATTTGTAGAGTTTAGTCCCTTCATCGAAAAGAGATCGTAAGTGAACGTCACGACCATCAACTCTTGTTACTCTACCCTTGTACATCGTTTGACTGATTGATACGATACCTGCCTGCACAAAACCAATCTCACTAACTCAAGACTCCTCAAAACTCGTGACTCTGGTCCTGGACCTGGTCCTGCACCTAGAAACCCAAAGTGCCGCCCATGTGATGACGGGACCGGTTGTTGTTGATCTGGCACACTTCAATGGAATCAATGTATGTTGCAGTTCAAGAGGGCTATATGTGGACGTAAACGCTTATCATAACATGCAACAAAATGGAGCAAGGTATTGTATGCAAAGTATCAAACAGCCTCAAAGCTCTGATGACACTTGAAGCATTGAAATGGATAAAAAGTCTTTTAATGCATTGACTGCAACAAGCCTGTATATATGGAAATACAAGGGAGGAGTGTCTGTAAGAGAAAAATTGAAAGAAATTACATGTCCGTTGGATTATAAATCAAGCAATCAAATGAGTTAAAGGACATCGTATCAGAAGGATTTCGTTGAATGAAGGATTGAAGGAAATGGAACTAAATAGGCGGAAAAATCAAATTATGGGGTTGAATTCTGTTGCTTGTTTTCTGATATTTTGATTTTCCAGTTGCACGAGATAGCAGTAGGGTTGGTAAACTCCGGGTCTTCAAATATCAGTACATCTCCATTCTATACACGAATGAAAACAAAGCAATTACAAATCAAAAACAGTATTCTTGCTGGAGAGACATTGTGCAAGTTTCAAAAATGATTGGACTGATAGGTTGGTTGAACTTTACCTTTCCGTGAGAAGCACATTTTTGTACCAAATAGTCCATTCCACCTCTGGGTGGTGATAGTTCCTCCATTCGCGGACTCATACCATCGATCAAATGAGCTTGATGTCTACATTTTTGTAATACAAAAGATCCAAAAAAATTGGTGTAAGTACTACGTATTCAAGAAGCATTTTATTCCTGTCTTGTTATAGAACTTACACTTTACAATTCTCAGTATTTGTTCGAAGAACGACCTATTTAGGATTATGATGAAATGAGATATTGAGTTTATTTCCATCTTGACTTCAAGGGTGCGAGTTTCCCTTTTGTTCTTATGACTTACAGTACAAGTACCGCAACTTTTTGCTTCAGAATCAGTAAAGTTTTTCTCAGAAGTATAAACGTCCGACGTATCAAAGAATTGACTCAGTGCGCTGTTTGTTGAAAGAAGGCGTATAATTGAGTTTTCTTATTGGTGTGGAGTGATTGTCAGATTGAAATGTACTTACTTGAAACAATCTTCTCCTTTTACCTCAGAAGATCCATAGCAAACTGGATCTCCCCATCCCATATATGCAGTAACTTGGCTAACGAGAAAAATCTCGATCGCTACAAGGAGCATAGATTTGATTAAGATCATTGTTAAAAATCAGTAGTTTTGATGAGATGAGTTCCGAGTGTCCTTTGATGTGATGTGGATTATTTTAATGAACCGAAATCCTGAATCACTTTGTTGAGATTGGAGAATCGACAAAGATTTGATTTGTATGAAGAGCGCGTCAGGCTGGCAAACTGGGAGCTATCAGAAATGTTTCTTTTCGAAACAGCAGGTTTCATATGGCTTAACTCAAAATCCCCACTAATTGGTTCGATCTTCTGAGGGCAACAGCTCACATGGGTCGGTCACTGTGGACAAGAATACAAAAGGCTTTCTAAAGCTTGACCACAATTCCGAGCTGATTTGCTTCAGTTTTGCCGGACCGTAAGCTTGTTTGAGCTTGTTGGATTGAACCTGATTGAACTGTATGTCATATGTTATTTCATGATGTATAACATGGACAAAAGCACAGCCCCACCAGTTCAGCACCGCGAGCGCTCCTCTTGTGGACAGCTAAACACAGTGTCATGCGATTCAGAGGATCAGCCAGAATCAAAAAAGCTATCCGAAACAACTTGTACCATTCAGAATGATATGGATTTTCACTTAAAGGGTTTTTGGGCGAATGCACGTGCACAACGGACTATTCCACACCCCAGGGGCTAAACATTACATTTGTCGGGTCTGACACAGCAAAGAGCACATCATCAGATGAACGTGAGAATCACAAAGGCTCAAGGGACTTGATCGCCGCTCCCAGCTTATATTTCCAAAAACATGCAACACAAAGACATCTTCCGCACATAGCTGATACGCTCACCCAGTGTTGGCCACACATTGCCTGACCTCGGTTCATCCAATCATGTAAATGCTCAAACACTTGAACTCATCATACGCGCATGAGATTGAGAAACATTCACAAACATTAGATTTAGAACATTTCACAACCCTTGACACCTTGCCCTTCCAATAAAGGTTTGCTACCAACTTGTTGATCAGTTGAGTATACAGATCCACTTTTGCCAATGTTCCAAATCAATCAATTCACCTCACTTTTTCAATCAACCCTCATTCTTCCACCATGTCATGAAATTGTCCATTGGTTTTGTGTCTTATAATCTAGCGAAGTTATCACTTCCACAAGAATTCCAAAACCCATTAAAAGTAAATTCAAGATGTTGTGAAGCTTTCACTGTGGAACCAAAATGTCTGATATGGAAGATGCCAGCACCATCAATCACACCAAAGTTTGCCAAAATGAAAAATTATGTGGGTGTGGGTCCGAACAATGCAACAGGATGAGGCAACATTCAACTGAACAGGTGGTGACATGTCCACATAATTGAAGTATTACTATTTGGGGTTATCTAATCTAAAGATCTATTCCTTTCTTATTTTGTTTCTCGTCTGATATCTATGATATCATCCTTTTACTAATCATATGATGTCATTGATATGTGCTGTGTATTGCTGTGATTGTTCTGCTACTCTCATTGGTATAAATTGGTGTTAACTCTTGACTACTTGTTGTCTCTTTTTCTTCACCAATTTCTACCTTTATTTCGAGCAGGTATTGTCATACTGCTCTCATCGGTCACAGAGATAGTAATCTCTTCAGTTGCTAACTTAGCAACCTCTTCAGCCTCATAGCCAACTCGCAATTAACATCTGTTAATTGGGTCAAGTGAGACCAACTCTGTGCCAGCAACGCACCGCGCCCCAGCAAGTGTGTTTTTTGGTGTATCGGTCCGCAACACGCAACAATACCCAGCAGCAGACGCTGCGTTTACCGCAACAACAAAAGGCACAGACCCAAATTACATAGTCTTCTGTATCACTTTATTCGGTGGGGAGATAACAACCGTAGAGAACAGAGAGGGGCGTAAAATTGTATGCTCAATTGACAATGCATTCATCCTGGATTCCTGGTAGATTTTCTGATGACCACATGTGTGGTTTTGTTGAACGATGATGAAAATGAGAGCTCAATCAGAAAGACAAGAGGGAAACAACCCTTGAAGTCACAGGCGAGTTGTTGCATTGTACCTCAATATATATGCAAGGATTGATTGCGCTCACTCTCGTATTGCCCTGAGAACACTAGATTGATGTCCTACCTATAGGAAGTTTTATTCCCTCGTGCCAAGTCCAACCACCCAGTCTTACGCTAAAGGAGCCAAATGAATTTATGGTTACATATCTCAATAAAGAGAATTCAACAAAAAGATATATTCTCAGAAGAACATTAGAGATTCTAGGAATTCCATCAACTGAATTGCATCCAATCATCATCAAGTTCTTATCATTTCCTGATAAATCTCTCCGAGCCGGCTGGAAGCAGACGTCCACCGAAAGCATACAATTTGCTTGCCATACAATCACAACGTATGTTGTTGAGGAGTCTTTGATCACGTATGAGTTGGATTACGCGCTTCGAGCTGAGGACATTTGGGAAATGAGCATATCCGAGCTATTGCCGAATTCAAAGAGGCTTGCATAGATGCATGATTCGAAATGAGTCAAGTACGCTCAGAGCCGGCGCATAACCAAGTTTATCCTTGAATTTAAACTTCTCTTAAGAAGAGTCAATAGGGATTGGGCGGACTCTGCTTGATGGTGACCCAAGCCGCAGTTCAAATGTAATTCAATTCAAAAGTGACTGAATATCAGCCACTGTTCAAACAGTATCAAAGCCAGCATTTTTTTTTTAGAAAAAAATGGAAGAAAAAAAAACTGTGTGGCGTGACACTAAGGCCAGCATCTTTCTGGAACGTACCCGCCTACCAGCTCAAAAACACCTGTCTGACCAAACAAACAGGCTTTTTGAAAGCCTCTTTGTTTGGCTGGCTTGATCCCTGTCACAGGTATCCGTTGGCCCTCGACCTCCATCCTCTCCGGGTGTTAGATGCTAGGATGTGTCCGGGTGAGTTTGTTTGGCTGTTATGATCCAGAACACAGCGGGGACACGGAATGGGATGACAAGGTGCTGTCCTAATGCTAACGAGATTGCAGTGTGAGGTCAACAGTAATACAACGAGAGGGATGAAAAGCCCCTTCCTCCCCTATAAGCATAGTTCTCAATATAAGGATCATTACAGTACTCCCCCTTTAAGGCCCAGACTCCTCTTGTCGTCCTGCCTTCTTTCCCTGGGTCAGCGTTAAAAAACCCAGTGGGAAAAAGCTTGACCCACACTTATCTTCTCCTCGACCTTTTGTGCTTACTTGAGGCGTTCGGAAATCTGTGATTAAATTCAGTAATCATGTCTTGTGCGTTGCTTAAATTACTTGCCGGTTCCCACGAATCATCTTCCTTCCCATACCCCTTCCAGCTCACTAAATACTCCAATTTGTTGTAGCGTTTTCTAGAATCTAAAATTGTATCTACCTCCCATTCTTCTTCTCCTTGTATCTCAATTGGAGGTGGTGGTACGGTCTTCCGTGATTGAATGGTGTCTTGCTCGAACTTCCTTAAAACAGAGACATGGAAAACAGGGTGGACTCCCTTCATTGTCAGCGGTAGTTTTAGCTTATAAGCAGACTTGGAAATTTGTTTAACGATACTGAAAGGTCCTAGCCAACGATGGTCCAACTTCGGGCTTGGCCGTGTTGTCGAGATGTTGCGGCTACTGAGCCACACCTTATCCCCAACTTGCCATGTCGGTGTTGCCCTTACGTGTTTGTCGAATTGAAGTTTCATGGACTCCTGCGCTCCCGCTATGCAACATTGTAGCTCCATCTGTACTTCAGCTAATCGTTGCAGTCGCTCTTCCACGGCTGGTACGCACTGCTCCTCTGAAGGTATTGGTCCGAGGTTGAGATCATAGCCGTAATTTGCCTTAAATGGTGATACACCTGTTGAGGTGTGTGTGCTGTTGTTGTACGCGAACTCGGCCGGTGGGAGTAATGCAGCCCAATCATCCTGGTGGTACGAGACAAAGTGACGTAAGTATTGTTCCACTACTTTATTTGCTATCTCAGACTGCCCATCCGTTCGTGGATGATATGCTGTCGAAGGAAGTAATTTGATGCCTAGGCGTTTGTTCAGCTGAGATGTAATCTTTGATACAAAAATACTACCTCTATCTGATATGATAGTCTTTGGTGTGCCGTGAAGCCTCCACACCTCTCTCATCATAATGTCGGCCAGTTGCTCGGCGCCATCCGTCTCCTTACATGGTACAAAATGGGCCATCTTCGTGAGTCGGTCGATGATTGTCAATATGCTATCCTTCCCTTGCGATACCGGTAGTCCAGTGATTAAATCGTAACTAATATCGGTCCATGGACCTGCTGGAATTGGTAACGGCTCGAGTGCGCCAAAGGGTTTCATTAGCGATGGTTTGACTCTTTGACATGACGTGCAACCTTCAACATATCTGTTCACGAAGTTCTTCATGCTTGGCCAGGTGTAATTTCTTTTCACAAGGTTTAAGGTCTTGGTCCTCCCTGGGTGTCCGGCTAGCTTGCTATCATGGTAGGTGCGAAGGATATCAGCTCGTAAGGACTCATTTTCTGGCACTACTACCCTTCCACCTTTGTACAGTAAACCATCGACAATCTGGTATTCGGTTAATGCTGCCTTTACCTTTGACGAGACCGGGTTTAAGACCGCTGTTTTCAATTCTTGTAGGTCCAAGTCTTCTTTCATGGCTGTACGGATGTCATTCATCAATTGCTGGTCTGATTTAAATTCCATTTGATCATCCTGCTCGTCAGTAGCCTCCATGCCTAGCACGTCCAATTGAAACCACTCAGAAGCTTGTGGGTGCTCTACCGTCTCTTCGAGATCAAACTGGGCGTCGAATGCGTCGATCTCAGAGAAAGTGTCGTGAGTGATGTTCGAAGGCCTCAACAGCTGACCAAACGTCAGTTTGTCCTCCTGTGAAGGTTGGAGATCGGGCCGTCTAGATAATGCGTCTGGTTGTGTCGAATGACGGCCTGGACGGAATTTGATTACGAAATCGAAACACCCAAGTGTTTCGGCCCAACGTGCCTGTCGTCTAGTAAGTTGTTTGGTCGTCATAAAACTTTCAAGGTTCTTA